TATATATATATAAATACTCTATATATATAAATATAAATCATTACATATACATTCACATAAAACTTCTCAATATATCACCTATCTCCTTGAATTCCATTTATAACATTTTAAATTCTTAGATTGTGAGATTGATGATTTATTTTTGAAGATTCCCTTTTTCATCTTGTATATGAAATTCTAATAAAATGTACAACTTTTTAAGATTTGGGTATTTAACATCTCCATTATATTGATTAACTGTCCATTTCAACTCTTTAAGTTTTCCAAGACTTAATACTTTCTTGAGTGTTTCAGGATCAAAACCTTATAAAACCTTTGTTAAATATTCTCGATGTTCATCCTATACAAGTGTATTCTCTTTCAACCATTTACTTAAATGTTCTGCTGAAATATTATTCTTTTAAACAAAACGTATCAAATAAACATAACTATTAATGCAAAATTCAGCTTCATCTATTTCCATTTAAACAGATTCACGATGAAATATCTACATCATTCCTTAAAGTGAAAAGGCACTTTAACAAGAAAGAGTAAATTTATAAATTTCATCAACCATATATGCAAACAGACTCAATGGTATCTTTAAAGATAGATTTAATCCTCTAATTGAATCTATGTCATATACATAATTCTACATTATTATTAAATTTCTATGATCAATATTGATTTTGTATATAATTTTATACATATTCAATTGTTATTCAAACCCTTCTTCATTCTATTGCATGCTTTAATCCTCCCAATATATCTAAATTGATTAAAATTGGAGCAACAAATTATTCATTTAATTTCACCTCACTCTTCTTTCCTATCTATATAAATTTTGTATCCGCCTTATGTGCTACCATCATCAAAAACACCACTAACATTATATACAACCATGGAAAAACAAAAAATATTATTCCAAATCCTTATAGAATTATTAATTTTAGTAATCTCTAACCATTACTCTATTTCTTTAACTCTTCCATTGTAATCTCATCTCCTCCATTTGGAATCACTCCAACATCAAATCTCTAAGTTCCTCTATCTAAAAAATTCACCACTTAATCTAATTTTGTCTCCTCCTATTAAACATTCAAAGATAAATCATTCACAGGCTGTTTAATACTATTTTGTTAAATTCTTACATATTAAATTTAAACATTTATGAAAGTTAAATATAATCCATATAAATATCCTACTATCTCTCCAATCAAATATCCAAAGTGAATATATCCTTCATCAAATACTGACAGACTCAAATCTATAAAAAAGATCATCACTACAAAAATCATTGTATATTCTATATTAATATTTAAATCTCTTTACATTTTGCATTTACGCACACACTTCCAGATGAAAGATGAATAATCATTCCAACTGTTATTATAGGGAATATAAATGATATTGTTAAAAAAGGTAAATACAAGAACCAACCTAAATACAATACATTCAACAAACTTGCAAATTGAGTTATTGCAAATGAATAACATATTACCCAACCTAACCATTATAATTTCATCACTTTTTCCTATTATTTATAGTATAATATGTACTTCCTTCTTCATTCCTCTCCCTTTTTATGTAACTATAAATAAATGTAGACTCAATGTAAAAAATAGAAATAAAAAGAAATTACTACAAAATCCCCACTCTTCTACAAAAGAAAAACCCAAACTCAAAAATAATTAGAATATTTGCTGAACTAATAAGGCTCTTAAACTTTGAATAAGAAATTATTTTCTCTCCTCACTTGATGCTTCTCCTATTGTTCTTGCTGAACCTTAATTATCTAAAACTATATTTTATTGAATCACTGGAATTGACTAAGAAGCTGTAGGTTCCTCAATCTATTGATTTTATTCTTGTTATTCATCAAATTGAGGATATGGATTAGCATCTTACATATCGCTCATTATTTTTATATTATTAATAACTCATAATTCATTATTATTGGAATGTTATAAAAACAATATATATTATTTAAAGATTATTGATAGTTGTTAATTAAATATTAACTGTTAAAATTAGTAAACCAATTTTCAGCAGATATTTATGAATACATCATGATGATTATCACTACTTTTTTTATTAATTACTATATTTTAATAATTTATACCAATTGATTTTAAATTATGCAAGTTTAAGAGTCAGAAGTTTATAAACGAATCAAATTACTTGGATCTGGAGCCTATGGCAAAGCATATCTTTCTGAAAGCATTAGAGATGGACAATTATGTGTGATTAAACAAATTGATGTGTCTTTCATGAAGTAAGATGAAATTGCAGTAAGAGTATACTCTTGATTCTTATAGCAAGCATATAGAGAGGCTAAAATAATGTCGAGTTTGAAACATCCAAATATAATAAATTTTAGGGAGGTATATAAGACGAAGAAAGGGAAATTGTGTATAGTTATGGATTATGCTGATGGTGGTGATTTGTCTCAAAAGATAAAATAAAGTCAAGGTTCTTTGTCAGAATGTCAAGTACTTGATTGGTTCACTTAATTGAGTTTGGCTGTGAAATATTGTCATGATCGAAAGATCCTTCATAGAGATATAAAGACATCAAATGTGTTTTTAACAAAAGAAGGAATGGTTAAGTTGGGAGATTTTGGTATAGCAAAGATTTTATCAACAACCACTCCTTGTGCAAAATCAGTAGTTGGTACTCCATATTATATGGCTCCAGAGATGTTTGAGAATCAGCCATATGGATTTAAATAAGATATCTGGTGTTTAGGAGTAGTACTTTATGAAATGTGTAATAAGCGACCACCATTTGAAGGTGAAAATATAGCATAGTTAGCATTAAAAGTTGTAAGATGTGAAATAACTCCAACTTTGGAATGTTATTCAATAAAATTAAGAAAGTATTAAATTTCATTCAAATCTAGCACAGTCTAATAGGAAAGCTTCTCTCATGTAAAGAACATCGAAGACCAGCAATAAATGAAATCTTAAGAGAATAATTGATTAGAGATAGAATAAAGTCATTTCTAAGTGAGACTTTATAAAAAGAATAACATAGAATTGATTAATCAACGAAAGCAAAAAAATCTATATAACAATTACCTTAATTAAGAAAAAGAGTAGTCACTCCAAAATAAAGAGCTAGTCCAAGTGTTCATAAATTACCTGAAATTAAAAGAACAATTGATACTCCTGATTTTAGTAGAAGAGTATAATTAAAATAGAATCAATCTATTTTTCATGCACAATCTCCAAGAAGAAAGAATTTATTATCAGAAGGTCCTGAAACTCCTAATAAAATGATGAAATAATCACCATCACTTAATTTAAGAATTTAAAGTGGTAAAATATTAACAGACAAACATCTTTAATTAAAAAAATAAATTAAATCATTTGATCGCTAATAAAGTAGTAGACAAATAATTAATCATTAAAGTAATATATTTTTTAGTCCAAAAAGAAAATAATAATAAGAAGAAGAAGAAAAAGTATTAGATCCAATTGAAGAAGCTGATAGTACTCCTTTGACTTTAACTAAATCTAATATTGAATTTTAAGATTTTAATAATTCTATTGAAGAAAGACGTAAAAAGAATAAAATCATTTACAAAGATCCTTTTAAAAAAGATGATGAGATGAGTTAAATGATATCATAATTATAAGAAATTGTTGAAGATGATATAGATATTCCACCAATTAATGATTAGATTAAAGTATAAATATAATAATATATATTAGAATCTAAAAGCTAGATTGATTTAAAAATTAGGTAGACATTTTGATGAAGTTTTTAAATAATGTGTACAAGCATTCAAAAAGCATGGTGATCTTGGATAAAGTGAAATGATCAATATTTTATAACTAAGATTCTCAGGTGTCTCTATTAAAAAGGTTTCTGGTATGGCCACTCTAATTCTCACACTCATTATTTAAACACAAGGTGAAACCATAAATACTGAATTTTGACTATTAATTATTATATATATTTCATATTTTATTGTTTATTTGTATAAAATTATTAATTCTATTCAAACTGATTCATATAAAGATGCTAGAAACTTTTTTTATTCTTCTGATAATCTTCCTTTAGAAGTTAACATATCTTTTAATTAATCTGGAGGTATAAAACTGAATGATACTGTTTTGTTTTAACTTTTAGAACGTACAATCTAAAAATCATTTTTATTTTTTAAAATGCTTTTGCAAGTCTTGCTTGGACTCTAATTTATCTAAGGAACACTTATCTCATCTTAACTATTATATTTATCATCATTTGAATGACTAGTCATTTATATCTCTTCATCAGGACATTCTGATGATTCACTTTATTTTTGTTGTAATCTCAATTAATCCTACCTTTCTTCTTTCCTTACACTAATTTACTCCCAAACAATTATATCATTTCCATTCATTGGGATTTAAAGACAAGTTGATCCCATTTTATTTATTATTAATTTTTTAAGTTAGCTTTATTTTTAAGTTTATTTCCTTTCCTCAATCTAATTAATTATGGCATCAATTTATTATACATTATTTATATTATGTTATTTGCATAATCATCTCATACAATTCTATACACTTCCTAATTATCAAACTCAGAATCAAATTACACAAACTATTTATAATCAAAATGTCCTCATCATTCAATCTAATTAGCAATTTTAATCAAAAATATGTTATGCTCATAACTTCCAAATATTCTAAACATTTTTATTTTAGAAATTCAAAATCCTTAATCATTACTTTTTATCAACAAGGCTTTTTATGCTTACATCGCTTTATTATATAATTTTCATTTTTTATAACTTATCATATAAGATAAATAACTATGAAAATCTATAAATAATCTTAGATGAAAGAAAAGGTATAAATAAGAATAATATTGATTTATAATAAATGCATTATTAAAAGAATTGCTGGTTTTTATAAAAATGTTTGACTATATTCAATATATATTTAGATGAAGAAATAGGAATAGAATTTCTTTAAGTATTCTAAATCTATTTATTTAATTATCTATAAGTATCATCATTATATGAAGTTAATTATACATAAAATTAATAAAATTATAATTTAAATAACATCTATATAAAATTTACTGGCTTTTATATATATTTATTATAATATCATTAAAAACTAATAAATTAAATTATATTTGAAGTGACTTATGTTTCATATAAGAAAATAAATAATGATACCGTAAAAATTAAAAAAAGATTCCATAAATTGAGTATCTAATTGAAATTATTAAGAGTATTAATTTTAACAATAAAGCTACGAGAAAGGATAAATTTATATTTTTTTAAGCAACTTCTAAAAATGTTCTTTTGGTATTTGTATGAGAAGGAGCTTTAATTTTCAGAAAATATTGATTACGTTGATTAAAGTAATAGAAACAATAAATTAGAAAAGATTAATAAATTAGTACTATTCATTCGGATTCTCAGAAAATAAATAGAAAGTAATCTGTAAATATATTAGATTATTGATAAATTTAATATAATAGTGTAGCTAATCAAATTTAACTGTACAGTATACTATCAAGCAGTAAGATTGAATTAGTTATGATTCTTGCTTTACAACTCTCATTATGATCATTATGGTTATTTATATATTTTCCTACTTACTAAAACTTAGTCATAATATAAACACCGCTTTAGAGAGAATGTCTAACTTTAAGGTCATAGATTATATATTATTATGTTCCTATTAAGTCCACTAATAAATATATTTAATATTACTAAGCCATAAATTTCATATTATTTATATATGAATAATGTAGATTATAATTAGAATTTTAATATCTCATAAATATAATTTTAGTGAATATAGTGGAAATTTCGAAGAATGAAAATATAATTAATAAAGTCTCATCTATTTTATATCAATTAGTTTATTTTCACCAGCTGTTACATAATTATAAGANTATGCTTACATCGCTTTATTATATAATTTTCATTTTTTATAACTTATCATATAAGATAAATAACTATGAAAATCTATAAATAATCTTAGATGAAAGAAAAGGTATAAATAAGAATAATATTGATTTATAATAAATGCATTATTAAAAGAATTGCTGGTTTTTATAAAAATGTTTGACTATATTCAATATATATTTAGATGAAGAAATAGGAATAGAATTTCTTTAAGTATTCTAAATCTATTTATTTAATTATCTATAAGTATCATCATTATATGAAGTTAATTATACATAAAATTAATAAAATTATAATTTAAATAACATCTATATAAAATTTACTGGCTTTTATATATATTTATTATAATATCATTAAAAACTAATAAATTAAATTATATTTGAAGTGACTTATGTTTCATATAAGAAAATAAATAATGATACCGTAAAAATTAAAAAAAGATTCCATAAATTGAGTATCTAATTGAAATTATTAAGAGTATTAATTTTAACAATAAAGCTACGAGAAAGGATAAATTTATATTTTTTTAAGCAACTTCTAAAAATGTTCTTTTGGTATTTGTATGAGAAGGAGCTTTAATTTTCAGAAAATATTGATTACGTTGATTAAAGTAATAGAAACAATAAATTAGAAAAGATTAATAAATTAGTACTATTCATTCGGATTCTCAGAAAATAAATAGAAAGTAATCTGTAAATATATTAGATTATTGATAAATTTAATATAATAGTGTAGCTAATCAAATTTAACTGTACAGTATACTATCAAGCAGTAAGATTGAATTAGTTATGATTCTTGCTTTACAACTCTCATTATGATCATTATGGTTATTTATATATTTTCCTACTTACTAAAACTTAGTCATAATATAAACACCGCTTTAGAGAGAATGTCTAACTTTAAGGTCATAGATTATATATTATTATGTTCCTATTAAGTCCACTAATAAATATATTTAATATTACTAAGCCATAAATTTCATATTATTTATATATGAATAATGTAGATTATAATTAGAATTTTAATATCTCATAAATATAATTTTAGTGAATATAGTGGAAATTTCGAAGAATGAAAATATAATTAATAAAGTCTCATCTATTTTATATCAATTAGTTTATTTTCACCAGCTGTTACATAATTATAAGAATATAGAAGAATAAAAGAGGTTGTTGAATGATGATAATTTATTAAATTGAGTTTGATTTAGTTCTAAAAAGATAAAGAAGAAGAATTGTAATTATTATCTTATAACATTTACTTGTAAATAATAAATAATAATTCATTTCATAATATTTATAAACCATCTAAATGATCCAATAAATATAAGATATCTAAACTGAATTACTTTTAATAAGACATAAAATAAATCTAATATTCAATTGATCATTTTAAATTTGCTATTGAAATTACATAGTAAATAAATTAACTTTTAATTTAGGTCTTATATTAAAATCCATAATTTTCATTTTATTACTTGTTTTAATCTCTATATATAAGAAGATCTTTTAAAGCTATATAAATGGGATAGTAAATTATGGAAATGAATTGATATTTGAGAAATTGAGATATTAGAATAAAGTTTGAGAAGAATTGAAGTAGAAATTAAATGTAGACATTAGCTAATAAATGATTGATTGAATAGAAGTGGAGATATTGATATTATAAATTTGATGCATTCTATATAAATTTTGTATATGTTGATTAAGAATAAATAAACGATAATAAATTTGTTTTTATGGATTGTTAGATGATAACATCATTAAAACATAAAATATTTGGAAGAAATGATTTAATTAAATAAATTATGATATTTTTGAGCTTATCAGTCTTGATAGTATTATCAAAAGCATCAACTAGTGCAATAGTATCAATTCCTTAAGATATATGTATTTGTGAGAATATTGTTTCTTAATTGGATTGTACTTTAGCAAATAGATGTTGGTGGGATTTCAAAACATCAGTTTGTCAATAGTAAACATGTGGAACAATTTCAGATTAATATAGTTGTGCAATAGATTCTTAATGCTATTGGAATGGAACATCATGCACAGATTTCTCACAAAGGGATTGTTCAAAAATTCCTATAAATCCATCAGTATTTAAGAGTTGTACAGAAGCCAACATCTTTTGTTATAACAATATTACTGTTCCATCATCGCCAATATGTTCTAAAAGACCAGGATTAACTTAAAATTGCTCTTTATTAAATGCTACTGAATGTTATACTAACAGTTTAGCTTGTAGATGGCAATCAAGTACTGGTGGAGGTGGAGCATGTTAACCAATTTCTTGCCCTAATTTAAAAACTTAAGATGATTGTCTTTATTATGCTCTAGATACTACCTATACTAAGTTATAATTATGTATTTGGCAAAATGAAAATTGTATACCAGCTAACACTTAGTAAGTTTCTTCATATTCATATAATGATTGTTTTCTAAATACATTAGGAACTTATACATTTAGTTCTAATGATGTGAATGATGAAGGAAATTTTATAGGATATTGTAAAAGCTGTTTTGAATTTATTTTATCGAGTTTAATGGTATTAGGTGCCTTCATCATATGATTTAGATAAAAATATAGAATATAATAAATTCATAGAATATTATCTCATTCAATATCTACAACAAATCCTACTTCTTGTTGTCTTTTAATAGGTCCTAAGGCATTATGCTTATTTTTACGAGCAGCAATCATTCTCTCTCTTAGCTAATCAAATTATAAATATATCATAAATATACATCATTATCTTCTTTTGTTTAGAAATCATCCTTTGGATAATTGCCTAATCTAAACCCAATAAAATCTAATCAAATATAATTTAATAAACATTACCTCCTTCTCCTAAATTTATTGGGTTTTTCTTTAAATTTTCACAAGCACTTTATTATTATTATTATTATTATTATTATTATTATTGATTATTTTTACCTTGTTTGTTATTTTGATTTCCTTATTTATTACCTTACTTACCTTTACCTTATAATTACTTTGAAATAATATTAGGATTAATGTGTAACCATTAAAATTCATAGAAAACAAACTTAGCTAATTCAATTTAAGTTTCTTTATCAATTCCAACAAATACTTATATTTACTCTTTTAATTCTTTTAAAGTTGGAGTTTTGGAAACTTTAAATATAAATTCTTATTGTTATTTATATATTCTATTAATAGGATCTCTCTCTTTAATTAATAAAAGCATTTCATCATCTTATAAATTTTCAGGTTTAGTCAATACTTAATATACAATGTCATTCGTAGAGAATTAATACTTTTATAAAGGTAAATCTAATTTTCTAAATACTTATCCAAAGAATCTATTTTTATTGATATCTCTAACTCTCAAATGATCAATATCTATATTTAATTCAAAAGTAGAAATAATCATTTGTTTTAAATCTTTAAGTGTAGCATCCTTTCTCATAGCTTCATGTCTTTAAAATACACAATCATCAGGATAACCAGTAATTGTAGAATATATTTAAAACCTTATTAGTTCACAATCAATTTAAGCAGACTTATCACATAATATAAGTAAATCTCTATCTCTTAAATAACATTAAGTAATAGTTTTATTTTCATCACTTAATCCTTCTGATGGTACTTATAACCAATCTACTTTATACAATTTATGTTAAGTAGGTTCAACATTAAATTATTTGCATGATTCTATTTTAATTGATTCAATTTTATCTAATTTTGGATTAACATGTATTTCTAAATTCTATTCTTTATACTTTATTATAAGTGATATCTTTCCAGTTTCAGGAACTTCTCCTTTCTCTAATTGTAATCTTGCTCCACTATAATAATTTCAATCTTAATTTACCCTTCTCTAAAATCTTGAAATTCCTTCAATTAAATTGGAAGATCACTTTTGCAAAATAATATTGATCCATTTAGATTTCTTAATCTACAAATATCATTTATTCCAAATTATTCTTTTAAAAATTCTATTAATTCTTACACTGTCTAATTAATATTAACATCTAAAACATATTTAGAAAATAATTACAAAATTTAGAAACTCCAACTTAATCTTCTTTTTCAGCAATAATTGAAACTATATCATCTCCAACTTATTAATTTTAATCCTTCTCATTCTTATTATCATTCTTACTTACATTCTAAACTTAAGCCTTCTTCTTAACCAAAATCTATGTTTCAAGTGTTAATTACAACTCACCCAATTATGTTTCATTAGATAAATCAGATATTATTTTTTAATTTTATACATTTCTTAATTCTTATTCTGTTTCATTCAGACCAGTTAAAGCAAATACTAATTATTTTAATTCTAATAAAGTTGTAGAAGTATATAAAAGAAAAGCTTATGGTTTGTTATTAATAATCAAATTAAGTTTATAAGGTACTTTTTATAATCCCACTTAAGGAATATCTAAATCTTTTTTAATTAAAACCCAAGTAGATTGATGACCAACTTTTTCTTCTTCTAATGTGCTATTAAGATTTGATAGATATCTTGGGAAATGTAATAATTTGGTTTAATAATTTTCTTAGAATTCTAAAAGTTAATATTCATGTTTATTAATCTATGAATATAATTCTGAAACTGTAGATGATAACTTTAATTTGTATGTAATTTTATCATATTTTTCATCAAGTAGTTTATGATTAGTTAAATCAACAACTGAAGAATCTGTAACAGTTATAATGATATGTTTTTTAGCTTCTTCGTATTCTAATCTTTCTTTTAAAATCTTTTAATTTAATTGATTAACATAATCATAAAGATATTTAGGGATTTATTCACTAGATAATTTTGATGGTATTAAATTTCTATCTCTATATATCAGAATGTATGCACTCTCTGATCCTTAATATTACTATTATATTTTATTAACAGGTATAGGAATAACTGAACTGTCATTAAAATTATACCATCCCTAAGCTACTTTAGGATTAGTAATTTCAAATGGTAATTAAACTTCATCATAATCAACTTCATCTACATTCTTTTTTTATTATTTAATATCTTCTTTCTCTTACCAATATTCTGCTATATGTGATTGCCAATCTCCTTCATCTAATAAATCTCTAAAGTAAGCAAAATAATGTCCTCCATGTGCATTACCTCTATGAATTATTATTCCTTATAATTCATATATTAAATTGTCTACTGGATTCTCCAAATATATTCCCATCTCCAATTCTAATGGAAATTCAAATCTATCATTTAATTTTATTCTTTGCATCTTCTCAAAATCAAAAGTATATCGATTTAATGTTATAGTCAATATTGGTGGTAATTTACGTATCTTATCTCCTTTTAATGCATCTACCTATCATTTTTATATTCCATTTTATATACCTTCATACCACATATCTCACAAAAATATTAATTATTTCCATCCAATAAAAATGGATTTATATAACCAAATAATCCTTCTGATATATTTTTATTTCCCTCCACCTAAATATTCAAATCATATATTATCTCCTCATTACCATGAGAATTATTACAATTCAAACAAGTTATATGATGAAATACTACTCCTTTGTAAAATGGTGCTATTACATAAGGAGTACCATATAATGATCGATCAAGTGTCTCAAATAATACTCTTTTTATATTATTATATCATATTTACTTATTTGCATCTGATACATCCTATTACCACATTTATTGACCATCATTCCAACCAAAACTAGATGTTAATGCTTCTGTTGATGTTGCTTTCGATTGTAAATCCTACAATTAAATAAACAACTTCTAAAACTCCAATAAAAATCTATTCCTGCTCTCATTTTATGCCAAATTTGCTGAATCTTCTATTGTCTCCTTACATAAAGGTAATTACAATATCACTTTTCTAAACTCAGGACACATGTAATAAGATTAAATCAAACTATTCAAGTAACATGTGGCACCTTAATTCTTCAAACCAGCAAAATGTTTTATTCTTTCAAGCTCAGGTAATTCCATCTAATCCGCACAATTTCTAGCCATTCTTGTTTCATATGTTGTTATTTGTGGATTTAATTAATCCTCTATTGTTTCAAATGTATCTCCAAACATTTAATTTATTTATTTTTTTACTATTATATTATTTTCTCATCAATTAAACCATTTTATTTTTAAAAACCTTATTATATATCTCTATATATTCATATTCTCACACAATTCAAATTCATTTATTATAATTATTTTTAATATATAAGAATATTTTCATTTCATTAATTTCCACTTATTTTATTAAATCTATTTTACATCTAACTTCTTTTTAATCTTTTCCCAAATTTTATATAAATTATAATAAATAATATATTTGCAAGTATTACTCTTTATTTAAATGTAAAAACAATTTTATTTTCCAGCTTAATTTCTAAAATAATGCTTGATACTTCATTTGAAAGCGTTAAATTTGCAGGTTCATTACACAAGCCTTAACATTCTATTTTTAATTTATTTAAAGTCATTAAATATATTTTTTCAAATCTTTTTCCATAAATTACAAAATGTGTAGCATTGTATTTTTCAATTTTTTAAAAATCTTATGATTCTATTCTCTAAATGCTGTCCAAATAGTCTTTATTTTTCAATTTTCCTTAGATATCATAAACATTTATAAACCTTTACAGATCTAATTAAAATTATAACAAAACAAAATCTGTATCCTAATAAATTAGATCTAAAAAGAATGCATTTTTTTCATATCTCAGAAATCTATATTATTAAATTTTAAATTTATCGTGCTTAAAGTAATCAAAAGATATTTCAAAAATTAAACTAAAATAATTTCTAAAAATCATATGAAATTTCAAAAAGTAAAGATCTCCAATTCTTTCAAGATGGAATATATCTATCTTTTATATACTGGTTTCAAATGATTCAATAAAAATTCGATCAAATATTTGAGATATATCAATTTCATAATTCTAAATAACATCATAATTGCATTCTAATTCTGAAACCATTTCAATATTATTAAATGCTATAAATGAGGCTAAAATATTATTTTCTTTCCAATATAAAAATACATATGTACTCTTGGATAAGTAAGCACCATCAATTAAATAATATTCATTCGAGGTTTTTCCAAATAACCCCTTGATTTCACAAAAATTTTTATGAAATAATAAGTGATAATATCCATATATTTAAAATAGATAAATTTCATTAATAATTTTTATTTACTCTATCGAGGCCACATATGATAAAGGAATCACAGATTACATAATTTCCTTCTTAATTATTTTGTATTTATTTAATTAAATTTGCTCCAATTATAGGATGAAATATTAAAGTTTGTATTTCATTTGATAAGTAAAAAATATTGTATAAATGAGGGATTCTTAATTAAACAGTATTTCTTTAATATCAACTTCTAGACTATTAAAAGGTAAATCATCTTTAATATTAAATGATAACAATTCAAATTTATTCCCATAATCTATACAAAAGTTAGATTGATAATAATAACATATAAAGTTTTCTTATGTAATATTTAATGGTAATTTAATTAAAAAATCTTAGATAGGTTGAATTTCATATTTAATAATATTACCACTAATTTTATCCCAATCGAATGCATTTTCATCAAAAATATATATTACTTTTTCATTAAATGAATTAAGTGAGTAATCATTATGTAATCTTAAAATTTAACAGTTTATAATTGTAGATAAATTATGTATAAATGTGCTTATAACTAATTCGATCTTTTCATTAGTAAATAAATTATTTTACAATTAAGTAGAATAATTGAAACAAATTTAATTTAATTTATGAATATGAAATTGATCATCTTTAAAATATACAGCATAGTCTTTGACACTATCGAGTATTTAGAAAAACTATTAAGATTAATCTATTTCAGTAACATATATTAGAGCATTAATAGCATCATTTTGTAAATTATAAAATAGTAAAAATGATTTATTTGAATTTTCTGCAGTGATCATTAAATAGGGATATTCAAATTTTATAGTAGATGATGGTAAACATTTAAAGTTATAAGTTGGGATTTTGTAGACAAATATAAATTCCTTTTTATAAATTTGAAATACTTTGAATATTATTTCATTTCCTTCTTCTAAAACTAAAATATACTAGTTTGTTCTTACATCAACAATAACTTATATAATTTTCTCTTATAAAATATATCTCTAATTAGGTTAAGATGAATAAAAAATCTCATTTTAACTAAAAAACAATTGATCATCAATAAATTGAAGTGTTTAAGTACAATCAAAAGGATAAGGATAAGATATCTAATTAAAATAAACTTATTCTTAATCGTAAATAAAAATTGTTTTCTTACAATTATCAAATAAGATTTTGATTTAGGAAAAGTATTTTGCTACTTAAAGTATTTTGTGCTCTTTTATTTCTATTATTTATGTTTAAAATGATGTATCAAGTGTAATTATTTAAATGCTTTATTCATAAAAAATGCACAGAACATTATGAACTTTTAAAATGAAATAATCAATCATAATATTAGTATTTATTTTTATACTCTTTTGTATAATCAATTCTTTTTTTTAGCAAAATACTATCTTGATTTTATTTTCTTATCTAAATAACAGAATAATAATTGTTTAATTATTTTAAATACCAAAATATATTATTTCTGAATTGTTCTCAAATTTTAAAATACATGTGTCATAAATGTTCGACAAAGTTATTTAATAATTTCTTTAATTATATTTGATTGCTTCTAAATTTATTGGAAGGCTTTTAGTAATTTTTGATTGTTCAAAACAAATTTCATCAATATTATTTTTGGTATAGATTATTAGTTCTTATTATTTAAGTATTAACTTTGATTAATTATAAGATAAAATTTCAATTTTTTAGTATTCTAAATCAAATTAATACAGTGAGGCATCATTCAAAAATTTTAGGAATAGAACTTCTTATGAATTATTAAATTAAAGGTAAAATTTTGGAGGTTTAATTTAAAACAACCTTAATTCTGAATTACATTTTCCAAAGAAATAACCTAATTCAGCTAAAGGTACTATTTCTGGTAAAATTATTTTTATCTATTAATTTAATTAATCATTTATCATGGCTACTATAGAATCATTATAATGCAAAACTAAAATTTTTTAAATTAACATAGAGTTTAAAAATTATTAATTCCTGATATTTAAAATATCCTAATCTAACCTCAATTATTAACTATTCGTTTCTATATCGAAAATTAATTATCTTCCTTTGCAAATTTAAAATACATTCAAGATTATTGAATTAGCATTATAGAGATGTATATTAAATTTACCTAACAAAAGATTATAATTTAATATTAATTTCTCATAGATGAAAAAAATTCTCTCTTTATTGCAGATATTTGTTTAAACTAATTATCCTTAAAATGAATTGGTAATATTATTTAGTTCTAGTTTTTGGAATGATTTTAACAAAAATTATTTTTCATCAATTTCAATTTAATAAATCTTATCTGATAAACAATTTAATTCATATACAAAGATATAAGAATATCCATAAGTAAATTCAATATTACAGTTTAATTCAACATCAAACTTTATTTCATCAAATACTTAACCATTTAGATTGATAATTGATATTACAATTTAGTTGTTATTCAATTAGCAATTACTTATAAAAATTTCTTTATTAACTTAAAATATTTTGTTACATGATGAATATGGTAATGTGTTATTACAAAAGTGAGGAGTTATTATCAATTTTTGATTCAAAAGATAATTTTTAATTAGGTATAAGCAAATTAAGTTTGAATTGTCTATGACCATGATCATATTATCATTTTCTGGAGTTATTTGCTAAAAATAAAACAATTTCTATTTTTCTGAAATAATAAAAGTGGATTGATTTTCTACTTTTATTTCATGAATTAATTCGATATTGAATTAGGTTTCATTTGAATCAACTAAGTTTTATTCAAATGGTACAAAATATGTTTATTAAAAAGTAAATTTTGTTTCATTCTGATAGTAATATTCTGTTTATGAATAAATTTTTGTATTGAAGAATAGTATATCAAAAAAAAAAGCACTTACTAAAAATTAAAAATTCATAAAGAATATTAAATATTTCTTATAATAGTTTGAATTTTTTAAGATAAAATGTTAATATTATTAGTTGTAAATCTTAAATATATAGATTTTGGTATTATTAATTTATTTTACAGGATTATAGTATTTATTAATTTTTAACGAATAGTTATGATTGAGTTTGCTAAATTATCAAAACAAGAAAAAGAGAAATATCTTAAATTTTTAGTTGATAATAAGATTGAATTTTAGTAATCTGATTAAGGATTTACTGCAAGTTTCAAAGTATAAAATAAAGAAAATGTGGATCCAACTCGAAAATCAATAGAATAAATAAAAAGAGCATCACCTTATTTGAAAACACCAACAAGATCAGTATCACCATTAAGAAGAAAATTTACAAGAGAAGATGCAATAAATTTGATTTAAGAGATTTATTCAAAGAAATTTGATGATGCTTCAAAGTAATTAAAGATGAAAAATATTGTAAATGAAGACTTTGGTGTATATGTGATGAGATTTGCTTAGAATAAATAGATTGATATAAAGGATTGTATGCAAATTTAGGATGAAAATGTGTTTCTTTTTAAAAAGTTTTTGCAAAAAGAATATGAGGAAGAAGATTTGATGTATTATTTATTTTTAAGGGCGATAGTAGAAAAGGAAATTGGGTAATAAATATATTAATCTCGAAAGAGTTTGGATCTTTAAAAATAATATCTAAGCAGTTATTAAGTTTAAAGTATAATATGTACAGTTTATGAAAACTAAATAGATGAAGTTTAGGATTTATTGGAATATTTTAAGAATAATTTTGAGAATAATAAGATAAGTGCATTTAATTTTATGGGTTTAGCATTGGATAAATATAATAAGGATAGAAAACCATAAGATAAGAAGGTATTAATAAGTGAATTTGTGATAAATGAATTATAGAAATTCTTTTATAAAGAAATTGAAGAATGTAGTGATGAATTATTTGATAAAGTGAAATAGATAGTGAATGATTTGTTATAAAGTATATACAGAAATGATAAGAGAATTTGGATAAATAGAGTTCAGTGTGCAAAACCAGAAGATGTTTAATATTTGGAAGGATTATAAAAGTAATTTAAAAATATAACAGGGAGTAAAGAGGAAATCAAATAATTAAGTAGAAAGATATTATAAACACCTTAATTGAGTAAATGTTTTGGAAAACTATTAGAATGATACTAATTTATATATATATATATAATTTAAATAATTGAAATGCAACAAAGTGACTTAGAATAGCGATAATCAATGCAAATAATAGTAGAAGAGCCTAAGCCAAAAGATACACGTTATAAGACAAGTGTAAAGTGTTTGCCTAAGTAGTAAGGATGTCACAAAGACAAAAGGAGTAGAGTTTGAAGAATTCGATTTGAAATAAGAATTAATGTAAGGTCTAGCAGCATCAAATTATGAGAAGCCTTCTCCTATATAAGAAGAGTCAATTCCATTTGCTTTAGCAGGATCTAATATTATAGCAAGAGCAAAAAATGGAACAGGAAAAACAGGAGCCTATATAATTCCAATTTTAGAAATGTTAGAAATAGAAGGATAGATTTAAAGTTTGATTTTAGTACCTACAAGAGAATTAGCACTATAAGTATCAAGTTTAGTAAAAGAAATTGGTAAGTATATGAAAGTAGAATGTATGGTTTCAACTGGAGGAACTGATTTTAAAGAAGATATCTATAGGTTAAAATAAGTAATTATTTAAATCATTATAGGTAGTTCATGTATTAGTAGGAACACCGGGAAGAATTCTAGATTTAGCATAGAGGAAATTAGCAGATTTATCTAAATTAAAACATTTTGTTTTAGATGAAGCTGATAAACTTTTATCTCTTGATTTTTAACCACTTATTGTTAAAATACTTTAATTTGCTCCTCCAGAAGTCTAAATTATGATGTTTTCTGCCACTTTCCCTGTTGATGTCAAAGGTTTTATTAATCAACATGTTCCATAAATATAAGAAATTAATTTAATGGAAGAATTAACACTCAAAGGTGTCACTTAATATTATCTATATATTGATGAAAAATAAAAAGTTAATTGTTTAAATTTCATATTCAGTAAACTTGAAATTAATCAGGCTATTATATTTTGCAATTCAGCAAGAAGAGTAGAATTATTAACTCAAAAAATTACAGAATTTGGGTATTCGTGTTTGTATGCATTTTCTCTCATTCTATTAGCTATATTCATGCTAAAATGAATTAAAAAGATAGAAATAAAGTATTCCATAGTTTTAGAAAAGCTATTGGTAGATGTCTTGTTTCTACTGATCTCTTTACTAGAGGAATTGATATTTAATCTATAAATGTTGTCATTAATTTCGATTTCCCAAGAACTGCTGAAACTTATTTACATCGTATAGGCAGATCAGGAAGGTGATATATATCAATTTATTGTAGATTTGGTCACTTAGGTTTGGCTGTTAACTTTATAACTGAAACAGATAAAGATACTTTGGTTTCAATTGAATAAGAGCTAGACACTGATATTAAACCATTTCCAAAAGAAGTTGATAAGAGTTTATATTGATAAATTAAACATCAACAATTTATTAATCATAAAAAATTTATAAATCATAAAAAATTTATTTTATCAATTTTTTTTTAATTTCTTTCATTTACTATCATCCCCCCATCTTTTATGGTTTTCATAATGTATATTTGCTTTAATTAGATGTAAGATTTAATTAGATTAGACTTATACTTATATTGGTTATCCAGATATGAAAACTAATTATATTATAGATGAATATTACTTTTTCTTTAAAAAATCACAAGGAGGATTCCAAGGAATTTTTAAAGAAATATTCATTTTTTTTCTGACTCTAAGTTACACAAAAAAATCAAATCTAATCATTATTAAGATTATGTAATTTTAATCAATGCTAAAAATTAATCAATACATAATTTATATCATTTTTTTTTAGGGAAATCACATTCTAACCTTTACCCAAAAAAATTGACTTTTAATGTAAGAATAATGATGATATTTTCATTTTTTTTTTGATTCAAAGATAAATGTTTAAACATAGTTATTATAATATATTTTAAAATATATTGAATTAACTTTAAATAATTTTTTCTAATACGTTTATTCACTCATCTTTAAATGGAATATATAAAATTTGAGTTGATAAGAAAAAAAAGTTTTTAAAACTTTGAAGATATAATTTTAAATATATAATGCTATAATTAAACAGATAAGGAAATATTATCAATTAAAATGTAAATAAACTCTTTTTATGAATTTAGACAATATGTTTGTAACTTCAGGGTAAAAGTTCATCTCTTCTATCATTTATGTAATGTCTTAACCCTATACAGAATCATTTTTTCTTGAATTTAGATGTGAGAAATCGCTAAAAAAAATATTTGAATATACTTATTACCTTCCTAATACTTAATCCCACCTGAATCGAAGGTTTTTGTAATACCTGTTTTTAATAGCATTTTGATTTCTATCAATAAAGTATTTTGAAACCACAGAGAATTTCGGTCCATGTTCAAGTACTAAGGACAATATTTTTTGGTCTTCACTAAAATTGAATGGTGTATTATTATTCAATTCTATATTTTTATTGTTTCTTCTTCTTCTTTTATTATGAAAATCAACTCGTTTCTTTTTCTTCTTTATCTTTTTAGCTTATTTATTTTAAGGTAAAAGATTTTAATCTGCTATTTATGTTACAAAAGGATTCTCTTGATTTGATAAAATTAATTGACAAGACGAAAATTCTTCTACCTAACTTACATATTTTTCTAGTTGTAAGAAATTGATGAAATTTTACTCTGCTTCATAGTCTTACATTAAATTTAATATGAAATTTAGCTTTTTACTGCATTTGAGATATATACAAAATGAATTTGATAATATCTTTTAAATTAATATATTTTAATACAGTCTTAGGTATTATTTATATACTATTATTATTAATTTTGTTCAGTTAGTAAAGATAATTATTACAACATATCACTAGAGTCGAGGTAAGTTAATACTATTAATTTATCTTATTTGATTTCAATTTAAAGAAAAAATATCATGATTACATCCTCAATTATTGGAATTGTAAATATATCAAATCATTTAAATGCTTAAAGTATTCAAAGAACTTTATCAAGGAAGAATTGAATGGTCCTATTAATAAATTAAATAATTAATTATATATATATAATTAATATGATTAATTGATAAATGTTGTTGAAAATCAGGAACTTACTTTTTTTCGTGTTTTTATTCAATTTATAAATCATATATGGTCTACTCAAATAAAAGCCTAAAAAATATTAATAATAATTTCCCATAAAATTTTTTTAGGTCTTAACAATAATTTCTTTGATTCATATTTGTTTTATTATTGAAAAAAATCAATAATCAAATTTGATGAAATTAACATCTATATTTAAGTTTTTAATTTTACATATGTTTATGTGTGTAGAGAATCTATTTTCTATATATTGTATTGAATCATTAAATATAGAAAAATATTATCAAAAGAGATAATGAAAAGACTAGGCATGGTTGATGCAAAAAATTTTTACTTTCCTATTTATTTGATAGAGTATTTGCTCAGATGCTAGTTTAAAAATTTATTTATAAAAAAATAATATTGTTTATTATTAATAGAAACTTTTCTTTATTTTTTAAAAGATAATTATAAATAAAAAGTTCTCTTAGATTTAATCATTTAAAAGGGATTGGGTCTTTTGTTCCGATAAAAATTTAGAAAAAAAATGTAAATCAGAAAAAATCTATTTAACAAATAACGTATATAAATCAATATTTAAAATATTTTCTCATTTTTTGTAGTTTAGATAAAATTAATTTGGAAATTCAAGTTTTAATTTTTATTTATGATGTTATGGCTTAAAAATTGTAGTAAATATTTAATATCTTAAAAATGATTTAGAGAAAAAATAAAATAACTTGAATTGTTAAAATTATGTTTATATAAAATAAATATATATATGTAATACTAAATAAAAAAAAATGAAAATAAATATAAATCAAGGTTTTGGTTATTTAGGTTACATTTCATTAAGGAAATCACTATAAGTAATATATTATTATTCATTCCTATCAAACCTTCTCATTAATAATTCTAGATTTTTATCATCTAGATAAACTCCATGATTTTCTAGAAAGGTTTTTAATTCTTATTCAAGAATAATTTGATTTGAAGTAATGAGAGTAAATAGTGTTTTAAGATTAAAATTTGGTCTTTGAGAGAGTTTTTTTCTAAGACATTCAATGGCAACTTCATTTTCAATTTCAGTTTTGATGACATTCTTAATTGCATTAAGAATTTCTTTATCTAACTATCTAATATTGATTTTTTAATAATTAATTGGTTTAAATGCAGTTAAGAATTCTCTTATGTTCCATTTTCCATCTCTGTCTATATCATATCGTTTCATCCATAAATATAACTATGATTGAGTTGGATATATTTCCAACTCTTCTAAAGCTGCTTTAACATCACCAGGAGCCAACTTACTTGTTTTATCTTAATCAAAAAAAGAAAATAATTCTAAAAAGTCATATTAAAGATATCCTAACTCTTCCTTTCTAAATTCATTTTCATATTCTAATTCTGAAATAATTTTTAAGGCTTCAGCCAAATAATCCATATCATAAGATTGAACTTTTTTCTATTATACTATTTTTTTATTTCTATCTATATGTTTTGCTACACTTTATTTTGCTCTCCTATTTGGAAATTGATTTTAAACTTCTATTTATTTAACTGAAGTAACAGTGGATGTTGTTGATTTCTAAGAATTAATATTACCATATTGAGGTTCTAGAGCAATTCTAAAATCTTCAAGATCTATTTAACTATCTCTATTTTAATCTAATCTTCTCATTAAGTCATTACAATCTCTATTAACGAAGTGTTCTAAAAGATCTTATTAAATAAATCCTGAATTGAATTGATCAATTGTTTGAAAAGCTATTCTATAATCAAAATCTGGAGTCTAAATTAGATCTTATTTATAGAGTTGAATTTCATCAGCAATTTGAATTTCTTTATAAAATATTCTGCATACTCCATACTCTATTTCATAAGATAAATCTTTAATAAACGTAGGTTTTTGTGATACTAACTTTCTTAATTCGAGATTATTGGCTGGAAGTACTATTTATAAAAAATCACCATATGTGAGTCGATTATCACATTTCTATGAATACCATTTTATTATAGGACTCACTTATTCAAGCTATACTATCAATCCATTTTATTGTAATAAATTGTAGATTTCTTAGGAGCTTATATATCCAGAATTGGAAATTTTCTTAAAAATTGAATATGGTTCAAAATCCTCTTATGAACATAGAATTTATCTCATGGATTCAGAATGGATCTCTGATTCTTCTAATTTATTGAAGAGTTTAAGCAATTTTTTTTTTGTTTAAGAATTGATCATTTCAAAATATTATTCGTTAAATGTATATATTGAAAATTGATAATTTAAAAAGTAAAAAATAAATCAAAATCAAATCATAACATATTTTAATTCTTTGAGTTTGATTATACAATATTTTATTTCATAAATTAAAACAATATATTAACAATACTATATAATGAAGGATTTTGTTGAAGATAAACTTAAATGATTTTCTGTAAAATGCTATTAAATTCAAAAGAAATAGAAGTTTTAATCAAAATAAAAATAAAAATTAAAGAATTTATTTTAGAAGGTATACCAGTAAAATCCATTTTATAAATTCCAGTTTAATAGAATAGAGATCAAAACATTTTTTAAGCTAATATGATGAAGATTGGATTGGATTAAAATAAGATTATAAGGATCTAAAATATCTTACAGAAGAGATACATAAAAATTAAGATGAAAAAATAAATTTGGATGATTGTATTATAAGATATTAAAATAATTTATTATAAGATATTAAAATAATTGTGATAGATATTTTTAAATTGCAAAAAAGTTTGAATTTACAATCAAATTTTTTGAAGTGAATTTAAAAGTTTAAATAATAGATTGTCTGAGATGTTAAAGGATATAAAAAGATGATTAGCATAGATCAACAGTTTTTTTATAGAATAGGAATACCAAGAAGATCAATCTTTTATAAGAATAATTTACATTAGGCAGTAACTCAAAGAATAGACATTGAGAAATAAGTTATTAAAAATATTTAATTTAATTCTGATGATCTATAGCAGTTTAATCACAAAATGAATGAGATAAGTCTCTGAGGATAAATTAAATTAAATTAAATCAATTAAATTTAAATTTAGAAGTATAAAAGGATGAAGAAATAAATTTCATAGAAAATAGAGGCTTAGAATATATTTGATAACCATAATCAATAATAGGATAAGTCGTTTGTATTTCTATTAATAATCACAAATAGATTAGATACTGCTTAAATAAATTCTCAAATCTCTGATTAGTAACTAATGATTATTAATAAGATAAGGAAGCTCAAATTAAAATTTTTACTCTAATTTAATTTGTTTATAATGTAAAAATAAAAATATAAATCAGTAGCTTATGATTATTATTTGCAAATACAAAAATAATCAAGTGAAAATCTTTACAATTTAAATAGAAATAAATGTAAAATGTGCTTCTAAAATATTTTGAGCATTCTTCCATTACATAATAATACTAATATTCATATGAGAAATGATCAATATTTTTAGTTATATTATTATAATATTTTATTTCTTTTATTCATCTCCTAACCTATTACTTTATCATCAATATTTCATTTCTAACATCTATTCTAAAAACTACATTTAAATTTTGTCCAAAAAAGATTAAGTTGAATTAAAAAATAGTTATTCCATTTTATCTTGTATTATTAATTTCCTCTTCAAAAATGAAAAACATGTGGACAAATATAACATAAACCAACATACAACCCAATCAACTCACAAATCCTTCAATATTAATAGATAATACCCTTTCTAAGGCACCTGATTTATATACATTATCTAGTAATGAAAGTCAATCAAATCAAATCTTTCTTAAAACTAAACCCAAAAAACTTTACTAAACTAAAAAAATCAAAGGAAAAAATAGAAATTTCACTCTAAACGAGGATTCTAAAATTTTAAACCTTGTTCTGCAACTAGGACCAAAATTTAAATAGATTGCCAAAAAAATCCCTGGCAAATCTATTAAAAGTATCAAAAATAGATATTATAAATATCTCAGATACAGATGGGATCAAATCTTGGGAATGTAAATCATCTTTATATACTATTAGATAATATACTCATCTTAATGAAAAATTAGAAGAAACATCTTTAGAGAATATAGTCGCAAATTCATGTTTGCATCAAGACTTGGCTAATATTTTAATCCCAGTGTTTTCTTAGATTCAAATGGTTATAGAGGAATGTTTAAATTGAGTTTATTTTGATAATCAGTTATTTTGTTTGCTATTAAAAAACAAGTAGTACTAGAAGAAAGCGTTTTATCAGTTCTAATTTAAATACTAGTTATTAATTAAAATAAATGTATTATAATAAACTGATCCAAATTTTAAAAATTAATTAAAAAATCCTCATTAGTCTTTTTTGCCGCTATTCAATGGTTCTCTTTTTATGTTTTTATTATAAAATAATTTTAAAAAACTTATTTTAATTAATACTAATATTAAATGCAGACAATTGTTTCAATCATAAATTTCAAGTAAATCATATAACTTATATCGTGATAAATTTAGATTTAGATTGCTTTTTCTATGTCTAATATTTATTTTCTAAAAAAATTTACTTAAAACTATTTATCTATATCAAAAACAAAATATAGAATTAGGTAAATTTTATAAAGCAATATATTTAATTTGATTTTAATCTCCAAATCAATAATGTATTAGAATTCCGATTGATATTTTTGCATTATTTCATTGTTTTTTTCAACAAAGCCTTTTTTTAATGCTATTCTAAAGAAATGAGTTAAGTCTATAAATTAAAATGAAAGAACCCCTGTAATCACAAATTTCATTTTATCAACTCTAGTATCTATTATTTTATCTATGACAACCAAAAGTAGCAGGTAGTTATTAATAATTTTTATACTGTTAAAGTTGTGTATTTTATTTTAATTATCTTAATCAAAATAAATTCAATAAGAGATAATTATACATTATACAATTATTTTCAATCAAATAGTCATTTATGAGAATTCGAAAAAATGAAATCAATATTTCATTGAAAATATATTTTAGTAAATACTTTAATTTTAATTAATGATATTTTTATTATAATAATAAGGAAGAGTAGAATTGGTTAAATATATTATTTCTTTTTCATAAATGAGAGAAGTAGTATATAAGAAAAGGTAAGAAATTTTTTTGTAAATTTAATGATAATTATAAAAAACGAATAAATATAAAATTTTCTAACAAATAATCACATCTAAACTTTATTGATTGACATGAAAAATGAATGAATTGTATTGTAAAAATTTATTTAAAAGCTCATTATTAGAATGAAAGGTTAATTGTAATTATTTTTTTTTTCATTTTCATTTCACAAATAAAATGAATTAGTAATTTAGTTTGTTATCTTATAATATAGTTAATAAGTAATTAATATCTTATAAGAATCTTAAATAAGAATTGATAAAAATAAATATCATATTTAAGAGAAATTAGATATGTAAAAATTATAATATGAAATGATAAACAATATATATATATCTTTAAAAATATGAATTGGTTTTCATAGTCTTTTTAAACTTAAGAATCCTTCTCCTTTTCCTCCATTATAACTAACTTAGAGTCTAGCTCTATTTGGTAAAACAATAAAATCTTAAGCATTCAAACCTATAGATAATTTTAAAAAATACCTGTATATTCAGAAGATTTCTTTTTTTAATCAAGAGTGGCAATATTCTCTCCATTAATGAGGACTGAGATATTTTATTTTTCTTTAGAGAAAAATGCATAAGCAATATGATAGACTCCAGGAGCAACAATCAAAATAGAACTTTTTCCTTTTTCCCAAACGAAATTCTCAGGTAAAGTATTAATAACTTCATATTCCCAAGGAATTAAATGATTTTATGTTTCTCCTGATCTCCACTAAAATCGAGCAACAATATTTTCTTAACAAAGTGATTCATAAATTTAATTTTAACTTTTAAGATAATTAGATAAATCATCAGCTGAAACTTTGGTTTACAAATCATTATGTATAGATTCAAAAGCTTAATTAATTTCAGGAATATCTAAATTTAATGAATATAATAATACTTGCTTTTGTATCTAAAATAGTAATCATATCTTATATTCCAGCTTTAAGCATCATATCTTTTTATATTAAATCTAATGTATATTTAGTTAATTAAATATGTTTTGTTAGATCTTTTTAATATGCTCTTTCATCTTAATCAATACATAGTTTTTAGATAATATTTTTTAATTCTTCAAAATCTTAATATAAAACTCTTTATTTTAAACTAATTTCCATTTAATTTAATTATTATTCAAATGAAGATACTTTTTTAGAAACTATTTATGAGACTTCTTATTTAATGTTTTTAAAACCATCTTAACTAGATCCAGTTTTTTTAATCTCATTAACTCTTCTTTATAATTATTATTCAATTTATGCTTAAATGTGTTGTTCATCCTCATATGATAATTATTTAGCTTTAACTTCACTAATTTCCTTTGTTTATAATAATTAAATACTTTGTTCATCTATTGTACTTATCTTTACAATTATTTAAAAACTTAATCAGATTTAAATTCATCTAAGTATTCTTACATTTAATCTACTTTTTATTGTAAATCTTTTTTTTATAATCTCATAGTATTAACTACTTTTTTAAGATCGTCTAATTCTTCTCTTTTATCTTCATCCATTTATTTAATATTCTCAGATAAATTATATAATTCTTCTGTTAATTTTTCAGATAAATGTGTAGATTTCATTATTGTTGTTTACATTTATTCGCTTGTGAATTATTTAGATTCTAAAATTTCATTTCTTAATCTATCAAGATCTGATACTATTTCTTAAGAAAACTTATTAAATCTTTATGAATATCCATCTAATTCTCCCTAAATAGAATTAATAGATTGCATATGTTTATCTAATTCTTTATTATCAGCTTTTTTGTTTAATTATTTTGTTACTCCATCAACTTATTATTTCATCTCTATCATTAAATTATTAGTATCTTATAATTTAGATTCTACAATAGTCTTTAATTCTTATTATTATTCTTTAATCACCTCTAATTAATGTATTTCAGCCTTGTTTTATAATGAATTAATCAAAATTGAAAAATCTTATCTATCAACTTTTACTTCTAAAATTGAAGCAATTTTATCAATTTGATCTAAAGATGCCTTTTAATCAAGATTTTAAATAATTGGTTATAAATCTTCTAAAGAAGAGTAGTTTTATAAAATTTAATCTAATTCTTATTTACTAATTTTTTTATTAACTGCTTATTGAACTTGATGTTTACTTGCTTTAGTTTCAAGTAATTCATTCATTTCTTATAAGTTTGCTTTAAGTTCAACTTATTATGACAATTATGAAAAATCTTTCATACTTGGTACTTATTAGAATTTCTTTGATATATATGTTTATAATTCTTCTATTTTGTGTTTGATATTTTACATTTCTCCTTTGAATTCTCCAGATTATTATTTTTCTAATAATTATTTCATTTCATCAACATCAATTTTACTAATAAAAATTAATTATATAAGACAATATACTTGCTTAACAAATATTGCATATCTGCTTTTAATACATAATCTTTTAATAAAACTTAAGAATCTTCATAAGTAATTTTAGTATCAAGATTGGCAGCTATCTCTGCGATTGTTCTAGAGATGTCATTAATATTGGCTTTAAGAGCTAATCCTGAATGAAGTTCATTTTTAGAAGCTCTTGTAGAAAGTTACTTTTCAATCTCTCTTATACTTTCTCCTTATGATTTTACAACATCCGTTAAAGCTTTAAATGTTAGTCTGATAATATCATTAATATTTTTCCATTCCGATTAAGACTATTGTTTACTTTGATCGATTCTACCTGCAGCAAATCTTCAACTATAGCTGTACTATATGGATCATTATCCTCTCGATGATGCATCTTTTAATTTTGAATTTCAGTTGATAATTAAATATATTAAAATTTTCATAATACATATTCGACATATAATCATAAATTCAAAAATAGAAGTATCATTATTATTTGATAACTTTTATAGTTTCATTATAAACCATTTAAAACAATTAAACATATTATTTTCTCATTATTTCACTTCTATATTTCAAAATTCGAAACGACAATTTAAAATAAAAGTATATAAAATTAAAATGATTAAATCATCCTTACATGATTATAAAACCCTAAGACTTTTTTTTCAAGTGTAGATTATTATATGTGAGAATAAATTACTTAGATTGTCATAATCAATAATTTAACTTCATTAATCTAATAATCAATATCAATTTTTAAAATTATCATATTTATTATAATTCCATCTTTATTCATAATTATTATCTTTTGTTATTCTATCTATAAGAATTAAATTAAATCAACTCTTGAAATTAAACAAACTACATGAAGATCTTTTTAATAGAGTCAAATGGCGTTTCTATTTTATATTAGTTCTTATAATGATAACTAAATCACATTCTATTTACTATTTATATTTTAAAAATAACAATATATCATAATTTTTTATATTTTTATTTGGATAAGATGAGTTCTTTTTTAAAATAAACTTTGTATTCTTAATTTTATTCAACATTTTTTGTTAATAAAATGCTCTGTTTATAAGTTATATTTAAATGATTAGAGTTTGTATGTATTAAAAGTTAAATATGTATCAAAAGTATAAGATAGGGAAATAAAATGAATGATTTGAATATAATTGTTATAATTGTAAGTATAAAATAAAAATGATTAACTTAAGTTAAATATTAGAAGGTGAGAATGGTGAGATAACATTTTGTGAGGATGAAAGTCAGGTTGATTTAGAAGATATCTTATAAGAAGAAGAAGAGATAAGAGAATAAGTGAATTATTTGAATAGTGATTCTTAAATATTGGAATGTAATAATTAGAATAATGAATCATTTATTTGTGATAAAGAAGAATTCATTTCTCCAATTTAAATAATGAATTAAGGGTATTAATCAAAAACATTTGGGATTTCAACAAATTATTTAATCAATTACTGGGAGAAATAGTTAGCATTATACTCAAATAATAAGAATAACAAATCTATTTAAATTTAAGATGTGTCTTATATTTCAGTTAAAGGTTAAATAATAGCTGTTGGTTTTGAGAATGGTTTAATTCAAGTATACGAGGGAAGTTAATTAAAATTAGTCCATAAAATATAAGAGCATTAGACTACAATTATAGGTTTGAATATAGTAGATATATAAATAAATGAATTAATGATAGCATCATCTGATTTAGATGGTAATGTCAAATTAATAAGAATAGGATAGAATTTATTCAGAAGTAAAATTGTAACAAATACTATTATGAATAAATTTGAATATCCTGTAACTCAATTAATATCTTAACATTTTAAATATTCTGACTCTCATAAAGCCAGTCTATTATTGACTTTAGCAAATACTAATATGGTTATAACATTATCTATCAATCCTGAAGTTAAAGTAATACATGTTTTTGATAAATAAAAATCTAATAATGATTTACACTGGGGAAAATGTCATTATGAAGGAAATCTAATCTAATTGTTATCTATCTAATGGAATTCATTCATTTAATTAATTACTTTTCTAGAAAATTCTCCATGGTATTTTTCATTCTATTCTGCTGATACATAATTGATTGGAGCTAAATTCATCTCAGAAAATCTAATAATTGCTGCTACTGAAGGATAATTTCTAGTTCTCTATATACCATATTTCTCTAAAGGTAAATATTGCTTTAAATCTGATGGAAAAGCTAAAATTTCAAACACAAATTTCCATTAAAATATTTATTGTTTAAGAGCTATAAATAATGTAATCTATTTTATATCAGAAAATTAACTCTATTCATTACATGCACTTAGTTGGTTATAATATCTTAAATCATTAATCTAAAACGATTCACCATAATGGACTATAGCATTAAGGTTTCTTGTTTAAGTTTATAAAGGTAAAGTTAAAGGAATGCCTAACTTAGAATTAGAGGAGGATAGAAATGCTATTCAAACTTTAGCTCCTACTCTTATAACCAGTATCACTCATTCCAAAATTAATAGAGAATTAATATCAAGTGTTGTTCAATTTATACTTCTTTGCTAAATTCCTTAACATTTGAGTATAATTAGATAAGGATGTGAAAAACAATTTGTTTTGGAAGATTATTACAGAGTTTTAGAAATTCATTTAAAAAAGATAACATAATTACCAAAAGAGATTTTCTTTGATTTAGCTAATAAATTTTCTCCTGAATCTTTTCAATAGTTAGTGATAAATTTAGATTTAAATTCAATAGATATAGGATATACTTATGATGTTTGTCTAAGTAAAGAGATATATACTCCATTACTATATATATGTCCAAGAAAAGAAGAAGATTTTATAACTCCTTTGAATAAAATGTTTGAGAAACATAAATAAGAACTCTATGAAAAATGTTTATGGTTTATTGAAATAACATAAAAATAAATTTTATTTCCAAATGATTAAATACCTTTAGAAATTTGGAAGAAAGCTATTAGATAATAAATATTATGGTTAATGGAAGTATTGGATGTATTTTAGAGTGAGAAGATGTTTTAAATACTTAGTACATATCTTAAACATCCTTGTTTTGGTGCTTTACTTAATGAATCAGTCTACTCTTATTTTAATATTACTTAAGAGAATTTATTAGCTACAAAGATTTTTGAATAAGTTAGTAACATTAAATAAAATTATTTACTATAATATTTAATATTTGTCAGTAAGATTATTGATTAAATAAAAGTATAAGATGCAGAGAAATTAATATTACAAATATTTGAAATCAATAAATCTTATATTGATAATTATGTTGCAATGCCTGAAGATTTGGATTAGATTTTATAAATAATTTATTATTTAATGCCTCATACATCATTAATTGATAAAGCATATGAGTGTAAGTGTGTTGATTATATCGCATATTATTTCTTATCTTAAAATCAATTTGATTAAGCTATTCAAATATTCTTCAATTATGAATAATTTAAACTTAGAGTCTATAAATGGCTTTAATATCAACCTTATGATCCATTAATGTTAGATCAACTTGATAAATTATTATAATTAGATCCTGAAAAATGTGCAAAAGTATTTTAAAGTTGGCCAATCGAAACTTTATAAAAACTCATTATTTATTAACCAAAAAGAGAATTACTTAATGTATTCAAATATCTCTCTATTGATCTCTCTTAGTTTCTTTAATTAAAATTAATTGAATTAATCAGTATACATGAACCAGAAAATACTATTTCATGGCTTAAAAATAAATAATATTAATTAGAAGATGTAGAATAAATATTTTTATAAACTAATAATATTGAAGGATTAGGTTATATTATGGAATAAAAGGGACTTTATTAAGAAGCTATTGATAATTATCTATAAGTTTATAAAGACGAATCTAGAAATTATATTATATCATTTCGAAATTAAGATAGAGTAACTTAATTATTTCAAAATCTAATTAGAGCTACTAAAATAGCTGTCTAATCAGCAGATTTAAATTAAGAATTATATTTATATATAGCACATTAAATATTTAATCCATTAATGCATTAAACACATTGGTGTAAACTGAAAAAATCATATATTTTTAATCAATAATTTAGTTAACTCTTCATGCATTTATTTCGTTATTCTCCAACTGAATTAATCAAAATTATTGAAATAAATCATGAAACATTTAATTAAGTACATCTCAAAAATAGTTTTATTACTGTTTTTAAAGAATTTGGATATGAAAAATAATTAGTAGAAAAAATATCTCAAATTATTAGAAATGATAATATTAAATTACTCAAATTACTTTATACTTTGCTTAATAAATCAAATCTATATGAAACAACTTGTATTGAATGTTAATAACCATATACTCAAGATTAAGTCATTCTTTTAAAATGTGGACATACTATTCATCCATTCTGTTTGGAAAATAAATATTGTCCTATTTGTCAAAATATTTCAACTTAATCATGTATTTATTATAATCTATATTTATAGTAATTGAAAGTATTGGAATTGAAGAATTAAAGAAATCTATCTTGAAATCTAAAGTTGATAATTAGCAATTATAATTATTGAAGAATGTTGATGATATAGATTTAGAGGATAATTTTATTACATCTACTACATAAGATGATAAAGAAATTATGGAATTAAGATTACTAAATAAATTAGATATTTATGATTAATTAATTGATTCTGCATTACAATAGGTATTATTATTTAATACTTTTATAGTATAATTCATTTCTTGATTCATATTTTTGATTGATTGATTACCTTTGAATTTTTGTATACTTTATATATAATTTTTATATATAAAAAATGCAGTTATTTCATTTTATTAACTTAGAAATTAATTTAAAATAAAACCACACTTTTACATAATGTTTTGTGAACACAAAGGAGAATAATCATTGTGTATATGTTGTTAATAAATTATCTGCGAAAAATGTATTTGTTGTAGTGATCCAAAAAAAATAAATATACCTGACATTGATTTAAATGCACTATGTTCAAGATGTGATCAAACTTAGGCTGAATATAAGTGTGAATAGTGCAAATATCAATTTTGTTAAGAATGTTTTCAATCAGTTCACAACATTGGAAAATTTTCAACTCATATTAGAATTTCAATTCATAAAGAACTACACTAATAGATAATGAAATAACTGTCTATAATTTAAGAATTTGAATAATATTCAAAGGAACAAACAAATAGTATTCAAAAATATTTTGATTAAATTTAAGAAGTATTAGATAGAAAGAAAAAATAATTACTAGATGTGATATAAAATTATCGTCAATAATAAATGTAAAATCTTAAATAAAGAATGAATGTGATAGAAGCAGCAGTAAAAATAAATTCAGAACGTACTTTTGAAATTCCGGAGAGTCTGAATTATAGTAAAGAAACTTTTAATTTAACCGCCAAAGAATAAATTATAGAGTTAATTCTAAATATTGATGTATAAAAAAACTTAGACTAAAGTACTGTTAGTCCACGTAGAATTCATACCTAATCAAGTGTAAGAAGAAGTGCAAGTTGTAGAAAATTAGAATCTTAAGAAAAAATAATAGAAATATGTGAAACTTTTGAGAAAAGAAAATTTATAAAAGAAGTTTGTTAATAAAATTCAATTTAGTTATAATGGACTCATTCAAAATAAAAAGTAGAATATAATTTAGAAATGGGTATTGGAATGAAAATAAAAGGTGTTGAATAATTTAAATAGGTTTATAGAGGAATAGAATCATCATTTACAATAAATGGATTATAAACTAAAACTAATTATAAATTTAGAGTTTAATGTATTTATGAAAATAAAACAAGTGAATTTAGTGAAATCTTGAATATAACAACATTATAATAATAATCTATAGAAGAGAGTTTAATAATTTCTAAGAGAATAATAAATAATGATATATAGGTTTAATTTGAGAAACCTGGATTAGTTTTAGGTACAAATCCATTATATTTTGGAATTTGGTCATGGGAAATTAAATTAATAATTAATGGCATAATTGAAGATTTGACAGCAAGTTTAGTAGTTGGAGTAGCAAATAAATAAAGAAAAATAGTAGGAACAACATTAAATTATGGTTATTAAAGAGAATCTTTAATTATAAAAGTCTTAGTAGATATGGATAATAAATGTATGACAATAACATCTAAGATGCATCCAAATGGAGAAAGATTCTAAAATATAATAGGACCTGTATTTCCAGCATTTTAAAATAAGAATACTCATAAAGGATCAGGATGTAAATTATTGATATAATATTAATAATTATGAATAAAAAATGATACTCAATTTTACATATGATCTTTATCAATTTACTCTTTTCTAAACCATCACTAAATCATTAGAAATGGGCTCAACAGCAGATTCTATTATCTATATTAGAAATAGAAAAGATAAATTTATGGATTTCAAAATGATAAAAGGGTTTATGTTTATTGGAGAAAAAATCAATTTAGATCTTTAATATAAAAGTTTAAGGAAGGACTAATAATTATTGGTGATGATTGGAGTATTTAAGAAACTTAATAAATATTCAATTAATTAAAGTGCATTAATAGAATCAAGATGTTTATAAATTGAAAAATAGATGTTAAGATGTTTTTATTCGGTTTTAAAAAAGAGTGATGAAAAATCACATTTTTTATGTAATTATGTTAATGATAAAGAGTAAAACAATTTTAGAAATATGGATCTATGAAAATATTTAATAAGAACAAAATATATTAATAATGAAGAAAAAATTAGCAAAAAGATTCGAGGAAAGTTGATTAACAAAATTAGAAGTAAATAAAAGTACGTATAAGTAAGCTAATGCAAATCTATTAATATATATATTACCGATGATAAGTCTATTATTTATATTATTAATGTAATAAAACATTTACCTCAGTTTAATCAAAGATAAATAAAGATATTACTAAAATAAGTACTTTAAAATAATAAATAAGTGATTTTGAAAACTAAAAAAATGAGTTCATTTATATATTTTAATAATAATTAATATATTCCTATCATTGTTTTACTACTTCAGAAAATTCATGTTCTTTGGCTATAAAAATTTAATTAAACAAAACAGTTACCTCTTTTTTCTAATAATGATCTAAAATATTTTGCAGAAAAGTCAACTATATCTCCTGGCTTATTTCTAATTACTTCCTTTGCATAATGTTTCAATATCACTGGTAATTCAGGAGGTACAACAATTTATTCAGCACAATAAATTCTTTGTTCTCTCACGTCTGCCATTATATTATATATATTAAAATAATTAATTAAAATTCATATAATCTCAATATTATAAATACATAGAAATCATAAACAAATCATATTAAAGCTTAAATGTATTCTTTTTCTTTTCTTTAAAAACTTGAATTTAATTATTTAAAATTCAATAATAATCAAGAAATATTTGTATTCCTCATAAAATAAAAGTATTTAATTCTCTTTTTTATTTATTATTCAACAATAACTTATTTATCAAATTAGAGGTTGCCTATATTTATACAACAAATAAACACTAAAGTATAAAAAATAATTAATATTTTAAATATATATAATAATCTTCATATATTTTATTAATGCTATTAATTTTATTTAATAATAATCATTCAGTATACCTCAAATTAAAAAAAATTCATGATAACTTACAAATAATACTTAATATTAATAAGATAATTTGTTGCTTTATATAATCCATTTGAACTATTACCTTATTATTTTTCTACATTTTTATTTAAACATTATTCTCTTGAAAATTAATAATGAAGAAAACCAAAACTATTAATATTATAATCAATTAAATTAAAGCAATTTCAACAGTTAAATTTTAATTAATTGATTCCTTACAAATTTTTCAGATTCTGTATCATATCCTAATTTAAATATTTTTGGAAAATGATGAAATAACTCACACTCTTTTTCAAATATAGATCTTAAATTAACAAATTAAAAGAATAAATTAATTCTTACCTTATATTAATTATAATTTTTTGGACATATCAATAAATCCGATATTCAAAAACCTTCATAATGAAATATTCCAAAATAATTAATTATTAAAATACCTTTTATTATTATATTAAATAAATTTGTAAATGTTTTAACAGGAAATGAAATTTTATCATAATATATTAAAATATTTTTGCTATTTGATTACTCATTTTGAGAGTATTAATAAAAACTAATATATGATAGATTATTTATTATTATAACTTTGATAATTTAAAGGAATAATTTTTCTAAAGACTATAAATTTTATATTTTATTTATGATTGTATTATCTTAAAATGAAATTTTTGGCAAATATTTTAACTTCTAACTTCCAAAGATTTTATACCATTATTGAATATAGTTTCCTTATAGATTTATTTCATCAGACTTGAAATTATGAATATTTTTAGGAAATAAAAGATTATAAAGTTTAATAGATTCCTCTAACATAACGGCTGCAATATTAATAGATTGCAAGTAGGTTTATTTATTTCAAAAAATTATCTACGAAAACTTTCTTCTCCTTTTTTTTCAGGTCAATTCTTAAAGTTTTTCATAATTCAAAGGTTTCTAATCTATTTGATAATACAAAAAAACAAAAATTTGAAGTAATTAAAAAATTAAAACTTTAATTATATCATAAAAAAAGCTAAGCCTTTAGAATGATTTCCTGCAACAATTTTTTTCTATAAAAACATAAATCTCTTGTAAATGTAAAATTTTTATCTTTGTTTCAATATAAATAACACATCCTTAATAAATTTATTTTAAATCTTTAAAATTACCATTTTAATTTATGTGATTTTAGTAATAATCAAATAAAGCTTAGCAATCATAGAATGATATTTTCTCATCTTTGATTACAATGATATTTTTATTAGGTATGAAAATCGTTATTTTCGTCGTTTAATCTTATCCATCTATATAAATGTAATATTTTAAAGTTTTTACATTTCATAAACCACATAGACTGACCAAATATTTTTATTGAAATCTTTACCTACACCTACTCAAAATTGAAGATCATTTGAAAATCTTTAATTTAAAAAATCAATATAAGCTTCTATAAATTTGTTATTTTCTAAAAAAATTTCAGTGTAATCAAAAAAGACATGATTTTTATCTAATTTTCATTCCCTAAATATTTAAATTATTGATTTCTACTAATTGAGCTAAATAAATTGTATGTAAGATTATTATTTACAAACTATTTCATCAATACTGAAAGTATAAATCCATCTTTTTAATTAGAATTCACTATAATCTTTTGAATATCCCAAAACTAAATTAAACTAACTCTAACCATAGAAATTAATTCTTTTTCATTTGAAGATATTTTTTATTTTACTATTTTGAATAATATTATTTTTTTCTGCTATAAATAAAATCAAATCATCACAAAATAATTTAAAGTTAGTATATGCCTGAAACATAATAATTTTATTAGAATTTTCTGAAATAATATGTTTATTATCATTCATATATAAAAATACAGTAATTTTACCTTGGTGTTCTATTAAAGTTGATTTTTCTGAATATAATGCATTTTTCAATCAAGCTTTCTCCAAATTAGCTTCATCAAATAAACAAGAATCTACTCTAACACCTTTAAGAATTGATTTCTTAAACTACCTTTTATAAACAGTATTTTCTATATTTATTTATTTTCTTACTTTCCTAAAAATATACTTAAATAAATAACCTAATAAACAAAAACTATTTGATGAAGCAACTTTATTATCTATTTTTCAATTATTTAGCTATTTCGTTTATCATCTAATTTTATTTTTTACTTTAAAATACTTAAACAACCAACAAAATTTTCTAAAGATAGATTAAATTATTCTAGATCCTACATTCAACTATTTGATAAGATCTTTTAATTATTATTTATCAAATCCATAATATTCATATTCAAGTGCTTGATCTAAATTTAATTTTAGATTTTTTAATTAAGGAAATGAAATGATATCAAGATTTTAATATATTATATATGTTCATATAAATGTCAAAATTATAAATATAAACCATTTACTTATCAAAAAGAAACCTTGAAATCTCATTAATGTTTTTCCAATTAAAATATTTATTTATTATTTTGTATATTTTAATAAATAATAGAGAATTAGATTATTTTACTTAGCATCAAATAAAACTTGAGAGTTAAATAAACAAGAACTAATTTGATGAACTTAAATAAAAATATATTAGTTATTTTATATTCAAAAAGACTTATTTAAACTCTATGCATACTTTTATTTCAATCCATATTCTGCTTGATTAGATTACTTTTATAATTTCATGATAGTGTTTAAATCTAATGGTCGCAGTGGGAAACTCCTTTTTTTGCTTTCAGTATACATTCTCAAAATAAAATAATATTTAGCATATTCAGCAGGATAGACCTAAAGTTTATAATCTAATAAAATTAAAAATATTCTTTCCATTTCGTTAATATCTTTAGTTCTGTATTATGGGAATACTTTTGCAAAATTGTCATTTTCAAATGATTCATCATCCCAAATTTTAGAAGCAATAATCTAGAATAAGAAGGATATAAGTTACCAATGAAATTAAAACTACTCTTTTCCAGGTTTATGGTTCTAAACTTATATTAGCTAATGTTAATAATCTTTCTATATAAACAAGACAAAGTATGGTTACTTCTTTTTCCATTTTGGATGTAATAATGATATTTTTGCAATAATTACTAACAACTTCAGGAGTTGGTATGACTTATTCTGAATTATGATCAAAATATATTTTTTAGTACTAAAGTTTAATTTCTTTATCATCATCTTCCATTTCAATGAAATCAAATTTAGACTAGAATAGGGATTATTAATCTTAATATGGCATACTTTGAGAATAGTTGTATATTTTTTAAGAATCTTCAATATGTTATAATGATTCTTCTGAGATATTATTGACTTTAATTAATTATTATTATTAAGGTTGTATATATTTTGGTTTAATGGGACTGAACGATTCTGATTCATTTTGTTAGACTTATATCAATTGATTTTGATATTAATTTTAATCATCAATATCTTCTTCTGAACATACATCATAATCTTATTCATTTTATGAATAATCATCATCATTTTCTTCATCATAATATTAATTTTAATGAAGAATACTTTCTTTTAATATTTCTTTGATTTCTTATCTTTTAACATCAAAGTCATTTTCATCTTTGCTCATAGTTTTTTCACTAATTTAAGCCAATGTTTTATTTTATTTATTACTTAGATTAGTTTTGTCTAATTTAGAAATTTACTATGATTAGAATAATCCTATCTATTACTATTATTATTATTCACTATAGAGATGTAATTAAGTAGGTTCTTCAATAGGATTTTATGAAGTATCTTATTAATTCATACCAGTTCCACGAAATCTAAAATCCATAGAGAAAGGAATACTAGAATTTTTCATGACAGAATAATTATTCCTTTTACTAAATTGAATATGTTTTAATATTGCCCATGCTAAACAATTACTCATTTCTTCAATATCTAAATTAACTAGAGTAGAGGTCAATTTTCCAGTATCATATGATAAATACATATGTTTAATTTAGGACATCTATAAATCTGGTAAATTATCATCATCTTCTTCAAAATTTCTTTTTCTTCTTTTTTGATTCAATTATTTTTCTAGATTTTTTATCAACCTAAATAATAATATTTTAATTTTACTTATTTTCTTTAACTTCTGTAATTAATTTATCATCATGAAATTTACTTACCAAAATAATATCATCTTTTGATTTAATTTTAGTATTTGCTCTACTACTATCAGACAACAAAGGTCCCGTTGTTGTTGGTTATAAAAAATTATTAGTCTTAGTTAAGATTGGTTTACTATATTAATTTTAGAGAGTTTAATTATTAGAATTAATTATAGTTGTTGTATCACCTTTATATTTTTCCATAATTTAATTTAACGCTTAATTAAATTCATCTTCATAATCACTCTCATCTTAAAAAAAATCAAAACCTATATTAGTAACTTTCATCTATTTCAATTTATTTACCGCTACTTATTATTATTATTATAATTATTATTAAGGTCTTATTCTTTAAGTTTAACTAGTTTTAGGTTTTTATTGAGTAACAAGTTTGGAATTTTTTTTTGTATAACTAGTATTTCGAAATTTAGATTAATTAAGAGGAGTAGGTAAACTGGTTTTAATCATTTCTTTAATATACGCAACAAGATTCAAAAGTTTGACTTTATGACCTGGTAATACTTTGATATCACTAGATAGATATTCAACTTCATTATCTGAGAGCATAGCAAATTTAACTAAATCATACCCATATCCTCTTGATATTAATTATTGAGCATATTATTATAATTGGTGCGTTTTCAATAATTTATATAGAGGGATAGATTCTTTATCTTCTTTTTCTTTATTGGTGAATCCTGATATTGATGAATTCATAGAATTCATTGATTCATTAACTTTAGTTGATTTCTTCTTGTTAGATACAGGGACTTAAGCTTTGGCATGTTGAATTCTTTTTTCATATAGTTTCTAACTTTATTATTTCTCCCACTACTTCATCGATTGAATAATTATATTGATTTTATAAATTCAAATTATTTCTTTTATGATTTATAGAAATACAATGAATAAAGCAATTGATTAATAATGTTAGAGAATAACACCCGAATATATTGAATATAATTTAATTGGAATAATATATAATATTTTAATAATAAATGGATTAAGAGTATGATTTATAACTACAAGTAACACGGAGCAAAAATAATCAAAAAAGTTCTGTTCCTAGATTTGCTTTTTAGAATAATCTAAAAGATTTTGATGAATCTCTGAAGCATTTATCATTACAATAGACTAGAATTACCTAATTGCCAGATGGATTATAGAAACTAAGAAAATTGATATCTTTGAATGTGAATGACAATTATATTAAATAATTGGATTACAATATATTAGATGAATTGAAGAATTTAGAAATATTATTACTAAGAAATAATCTATTATAGGAATTCTAATTTGTGAGATTTAAGCATGTATAATAATTGGACATATCTCAAAATCATATTAAAAAAATATCTAATGAGATAGGAGAATTATTGTAACTTGATTAATTATTCATTTCACATAACAGCTTTGTTGAGATTCCAAAAAGTATTACAAAACTTAAATGTATATATATTAAGTGCTTAAAGTAGATACTTTGAATGTATTTCAATTGGATTGGTTTAAATATGGGGATCCAGGAGTTTAAGAGTTATTTTAATCGTAAGAGTTAATTTATTAATTATTTCATACAATTGAATTATGTTGTACAGGTGAAATGATTTCAGCAAAATAATTATTGAGTTCTATTGCATTTAAATAATTTGCATTGAAATATCAAGATAAAGACATTTAAATTTAATATAAAATACATTAAACAATATTAGATGAAGATATTGGAATGTTGAGAACATTTTTATCAGAATCTAAAAAATATTAGATTGATGAAATAAATTAGGAAGATTACTCACCATTAGGATTATCAATATGGGAAGAGAAGTATTTAGCAGCAAGATATTTATTATATGCGAATGCAGATCCGAATAAAGGAGCGTATGTTTATATTTAATATATAGTTCATGGGCTAAGAGTTGTTTGAATATTGCTGTATCTAAATTATAATATTATTTAGTATTTGATTTGATAAAGCGTAATGTTGGATTACATGAATTAGATATATATGGTAATAATAGTATTCATTACTTATTTTGTGTATATTAAATTAATGAAGTTGAAGCATAGAAGATTTTATAATTACTATTAAAAAATGGTGTTAATGGTAATCATATTAACAATGATGGATATACTCCAATCCATTTAGCAGTATCTAAAGGATATATTTAAGTTATTGAATATATATTCAAGTAGAAAGAATATAAATTCAATTTCAGATAAAAAACATAAAGATAAAAACATAATTGTTTACATCTAGCTGTTCTAACAAGATAAATTTATATTGTCAAATTCTTCATTTATAAATTCCCAGAATTCATATTTCAAAAAGACTATCATGATCTTATTCCCATTGATTATTTAAAAAATGATCTAACCATTTATAAATACTTAAAAGGTTTTTAAAAAGTAGAGATTCAACATATTCTCACTAAAAATGAAATATTTTATCAATCTAATTTATCAGAAGAATGTGATGACATTTTATCAATTAAAGTTTAAAGTCTAGCTTAATTAGATAACTTAGGATTGGAAAATAAGATTCATACAACTAGAATTAATGAAATTACTAGATAAATTCCTTTATCTCCTAATAATCTAAAACGATTAGAAGAAAAGAATACTTTAATGAATCCAAAAGACTCTCAAAGAATCTAATGTCAACTCTATAAAGGAATTAAAAAGATTGCTTATGAGTTTGATAGATTATAATATAACAATATCGAAAACTTATTGAATTAAGATCATCTTTAAGAATAATTAGATGATCTAATTTAAATTAAGAAGCTCCTCTATCAATTAAATTGTATTAAGAACATTATTGATTCTAATGAAATCTATAATAAATAATGGCACTTTCAATTAAAAAGTCTTAAATATCAAATTAATAAATAAGTGTATAGTGAAAGGAATCTTGATGATCAAAAAAAGGTTTCGAATCAACTTTTACAAATATTCTTAGAAATTATTAAAAAAGTTGAATAATAATTCAACAAAAAAGAGACAATGAACAGTTAACTTCAAGATTTCATTTCAAATCACTTTCTGTCGATCCATTCTGGATTTGGATTAGGTAAATTGATTGTCTTTTTGGAATAGATTCTTAAGGAATCAAATTCAGATGTGAATTTCCTTGAGCTTCTTTTTATTAAGCATTAACTTAAGAACTTATCAGTTAAATATAATATTTTCAATCAAAAATAACTCATGAATATATTTACTATTTGATTTCTATGTATTTAATAATATCTTTATGTATATATATATATATATATATTCTATAAATATCTTTATATATATAAATCTAATATAAATATATTAAATAATATCTATGTAAATATCTAAATAATTGTAATAATATATATGTAAATGTATTTAATAACATCTGAATAATATATATAATAAACTATACTGAGATGTTGATATTTGTAATTTACTATCTCGTACAATCGCTTAAAGAGTAGGAAATCCTTATAGGATATCCTTAGATAATAGAATACTATTCAAATGCAGGAATAATAATTGAATAAAATCTCACATCTACATCAGTAATCGATTTAACTACTTCTCCTTGTTAAGTTGTCTCATAGCAACTAATCAATCAAAATATGTTAGAGTAATCATTACCTATAATTCCATAATATTTGCCAGAATAGTTTTCATAATATTTTGATGATGGACACTTTATAGGATTGATTCCTCATATCATTTCATTTGTTAACATAGATAATGATGTTATAATTTTGACAAATTAAGCAGAACTTATTTACATTCGATTCTTAAATGAAACTTTTATTGTTTCGGACAAAATCAATCTCAACATTAATTTGACTATACTATAATATCCCGCATTTATGGAAATAATTACAAATCAGCTTATTATAATTATGTATTCAGATACTGTAGGTATTACTTTAGATGTGAAATCAACGAAGATCTTTTCAAAATCTTTTAGAATATATGAATCATTTAATACTACTAAAATCTCTAGTGTAGCTATTGTAAATAATATGATATTTATTGCTATGGGTATTGGAGGTTTAAAAATATTCTAATTAAATGGATAAATTTTAGGTTCGATTGATTTTTTATATTCAATTAACAATGCTACTGATTTAAAAGTATTTCATTAATTTGATGTTTATTTTATCTATTTACTTGATTATGATCTCGGTGTCACTTCTTTTATTTATAATCCAAAATCTACTCTCATTTACAAAAATGAAAGACTTGATACTATTCCTTATTCTGGAGATATTATTGATATTCATAATAACATTATGATGATTGCTAGTTATTAAAACTAAGAAACTATTATTCATGAAATATAATTAAATTACACTGATTTTAGTTGGAAGTAAGTAAATACTCATATAATTAATTAAATCATTGTTGATATAGATATTTTGGATCATATTGCCATTACTATAGGATAAAATGGAAATACTGTTATCTTCCATTCCATTCCATCTTAATATCAAATTAAACAATAACACTTTATTATGCCATCATTACTTAAATTAAATTTTATTAAATCAAAAGGATCTTTGTATCTTATTGGTGTTAGTCTTCATAATTTCTATTATTCAAAATTAGAGTTGAAATAAAGTTATTTATATTGCTATTTTGAATTTGAATAAGAAATTATGTTGTCTTATTCTCAAATTTCAAAATGTAAATAATCAGATACTATATGCAATTATACTCAAGAATATATTATCAAATCCATCAAACCTATTATTACAACTGAATAAAATTTCTAAATTTATTTAATTTTAATCTTTGTTGTATTAGCTTTTATCATTATCATAATTGTACTAATTAGATAGTTCAAAAAATATAATGATTTCGTTCATAATTTAGATTCAACATGTCCAAAATCAAATGAAATTACAATGTAAACTTATGAAAGCCCAACAAAAATAATAAAATTTAATTAAACTGGAGCACATACCTCATAGTTCTCTATAATCAGTAATATGAATAGATTGTAGTAAATTTGATGAGGATATTATTTATATTATTATAAATAAATAATGCTGATTTTTTTATTTCTAATATATGTACAAAGTTAGGAATATAATATCTCAGTTGATTCTGAAAAAGTAGTTGACAGATTTGATGATTTTGGTGAAATATTTTATTAGGAAATCGAGTATGAAGATAATACATTTAAACCTTGTCATTTCACAAAACAACAGTTAGTGCAAAGTGCAGGATTAAATGTGGATATTGTTGAATCTTTTAATGAAACATTCTTTCAATAGCATTATGAAGAAGGCCATTTAAATACTAAAATAGATGAAATAATAGCAGCTGTCACAATTTAGAATGGATCAATAGTTTTGACTAAATCAGGTATATTGTAACATCTACTGATTACTAATACAATAACTTTAGGTAAGTCTATGATGATAAATATCAATACTTAAAAAAAGGTACTTTTGAAATATCTTAACAAAAACAGAGTTTTATTGATAATAGCAGATTAAGAAACTCAAGCATTTCAACTCTCAAATAAAACAGATGTTTTTGAAGATTCATAAAAATTAAGGATATATGATTCATTTAAAGTGGATTAAATCTCAAGTATAACAACAGTAAATGATATGTTATTTATTGCAATGGGTACTTAAGGCATATAGATGTATTAATTTAAAGAGAAAAATTTATAATCAGTTTCTTGGGTTATAAGTGAATTAAGTGATAATTAATTTCATGATGTAGTGGATATCAAAGTATTTTCAAGTAGTTAGGATTAGATATATACAATTTATATTTTAGATAAGAAATTGGGAGTATAACAATTTGTATATAATTCTGTTACTACTTTGATTTCTATGAATACAAAATTAGGAACAATTCCTTAAATTGGTGACATATTTGATATTAAATAATCTATATTAATCATCATAGAACATCAACCTTCATTTTCATATGTACATGAAATATTATTAGATTTATCAAATAATACATACAAATAACTAAATAAATATAAAACTTTTAAGGATGTTTAAGATGTGGATATACTAAATCATTATGTAATTATTTTAGGGAAGAATGGACATTAAGTATTAAGACATTCTCTGCCATAAAGTTTTAATAATTAGTCTTAAAATTCTATAATAATACCAAATCTATAATAATTAGATTATATTGATTATAAAAGTAAGACAGTTATATTTGGTTTTACAAAACACAGATTTTTTTATTCATCAATTAAAGAGGTATGATGTATTTAAATTATATTAGTCACCAAGTTTAATATTGTGTTTTTCAAATTATACTTAAGATCTATAGACAAAATTTATTTATAAGTAAAAATCTACAAAATGTCCAGATAATTTAAATATTCCAAAAGATGAATTTTGTTAGATTGATAAAAGATATACTATAAATTTTATAGCTCCAAAGAGAGGTGCAGGATATTCATAAATAATATTAATTTATGGAGTTGCTTTTATATTAGGATTTGGATTTATTTTGTTAAGTTGTTTATTATGTAGGGAATTCAAAAAGTATGAAAATTTTGTGAGATATAATGAGATGATAGAAAATGATTCATTGGATGGATAAAATTCAAATTGTTGTTCAGATGGTTAGAATTAAAGAAAGTTTGGAAAGATTGAAAATAAAGGATCTTCAATGACACCAGCAGTTTATGAAGAGAAAGATAATTGATAATATTATTATATATATATATATTATATATATAAATAAATGGATTATATTAATTAGTGGTTGTAGAGTAATAATTTTAAAATGATTTTTAAATGTAAAAGAAAAGTAAAAAAAAAGAAAGTAGAAATTTATAAGAATAATGAAGAAATAATAGAGTGCTGAGATGTACTTAATAAAGAATGATTAGTTTTGGCATTGTTAATTTATTTAATTAAAACCAATAACAATATAGATTAGGAATGGATAATTGAATGGGAATATTGAATAATAAGAGACAATAGAAATATCATTAACAAAGTTTCCAACAATGGAGAGAGGTATAGAAGTGATGAGTGATTAAATATAATAGAAATTATAGAAAGGATTTCGTGAAATAAATAGTAATGATATATTGAAAGCAAATGAATAGAAATATTAGGAGAAAATGATAGGAAATTCAAAGAAAGACTTAACATAATAGAAGATATTATTAAAGAGAGTAAATTTACCAGAATAAAGAAAGCCAATAGTAGGATTAACAGATGATGCAACATAAGGTAAATTAATAGGAGAATGGCCAAAATATAGAGCAAGAAGTCATTTAGGAGAGACATTAGATTTAGGTCCCCCTGGTGATACAAAACCAATATAATGTTTATTAGCAGGATAATGGAATGAGAATATAAATCCAACAAATTATTTATTATCAGAGAAACTAGATGGTATGAGAATAATATGGAGTGGATGTGAAATGTATACAAGAAATGGTAATTCATTAAATTTTCCAACATCTTTTGTAGAAGGATGGCCTACTACTTATTTAGATGGTGAATTATGGCTTGATAGAGGATAGTTTTAAAAATTAGTTAGTATAGCTAAAAAGAAATAGCCTGATTATAAGGCATGGAAAGATATTAAATTTATGGTTTTTGATGCTCCATTATTAGATGAACCATTTGTAAATAGATATTAGAAATTCAAAAAAGCAATAGAGAAAATAAAGAATCCTCATTTAGTGTATGTACCTCATGTTGTATGTCGTGGATATGAACATTTAAAAGAAGAATTAGTATTAGCATAATAAGCAGGAGGAGAAGGATTAATGTTAAGAGATCCATAATCTTTATATGAAGGTAAAAGATCTAATACTTTACTTAAAGTTAAAACTACTATGGATTCTGAAGCTACTGTTGTTGAGCATATATAAGGAATGGGTAAATTTAAAGATTAACTTGGTGCTTTAAAAGTGTAAACAGATGCAGGTATTACATTTTAAATTGGAGTGGGATTTAATAGTAAATTAAGAAAAGATCCTCCTAAAATTGGATCTAGAATTTCATATAGTTATTATGGATTAACAGATGATGGTAAACCAAGATTCCCTGTTTTTGAAAGAATTAGAGAAGATTTATGATTTATATATATTTTTAATTAATGTTTGAGAAATTAATTGAGAATCTCCTTTAATCAATTTTAGGAGAATACATTGAAAATTTAGATTAATAATCGCTTAAAGTTGGAATCTGGAGTGGAGAAGCTAAGATTGAGAATCTTAGATTAAAATCTGATGCTTTTATCAAATTAGATCTTCCATTTATTGTTAAATATAGTAGATTAGGAACTTTAAATTTAAATATTCCTTGGAAGAATTTAGCAAGTTCTCCAATCAAAGCTAATTTAGATACATTATATTTAATTTTAACACCATAATAATCTAATGATTGGAAATTCGGTTGTGTTACTGGAGCTGATAAATTAATTGAAATTGATTCTTTTAAATAAAAACTTCTAGAAAAAATTAATAATAAAGAATAACAAGATGGTATGATGTAAAGAATCATTGTTAGAGTCATTGAAAATCTATAAATACGCATTTAAAATATTCATATCAGAGTAGAAGATGCATCAATCAGTTATGGATTTATATTACAAAATTTCACTTTATTAACTGTTAATGAATAAGGAATTGAATAATTCATTGATAGAACTTCTAATAAAAATTAATCATTAATTAAAAGCTTACAAATTAGTAATATTGGATTTTATTGGTAATGGAAAGGAGCTATTCAATATAATGAATCCAAATTTCTAGAAGATATTCCTTAAAATGACTATCTATTTAGACTCTCTTTATAAAGTAAAGTTATATAACCACCTAAATTAAGTGAAAATCTTCCAGATTTTAGATTTGATCTAGATTTATAATCCTTTGATATTTAATTCTCTAAACCATAAGTCTAATAAATTCTTAATCTTACAGATTATTTAAGTTCTTATAATAGAACTAAGATTTAATATCAAAGATAATAATAAATGATATAACCATTAGATTAATAAGATTAAATTAAAATCAAATAAATACTATTATCAGTATAATTGGATAAAAAATATAAAGATGGATTAACTAAAGATTAAAAACAAGAACTTTGTTCAATTCTAGAAAAAACATAAATTGAAGAAATAAAACCAATAGTTATTAATGTAATTAAAGAATAATAATGTGAAGAAATGAAACAAAAAGCTTTAAAAAAAAAATAACCTTAAGGATTCTTACAAAATTGGTTTGGAAGAGGTAAATAATAACAATTAAATGAAACTCCTACTCTTTTGGATGATGAATAAGAAGAAATCTAAAAATTTTTATAGTAAAACTTTTCATAAGATGATCCTTAATAAATTAATTAAGGTAAAACTACATAAATTGTAGTTAATGGTAAAATGTCATAAGGTACTATAATTCTTAGTAATCCTTGTTAATAAAAAGTAGATGATATTAAGATTCTCTTTAAAGATTTGAAATGTGATTTAAAATTAGATAAAGATGTTAAACTAGATCTCTCTTTAATAGATATGATAGTATTATTTAATAACTAATAATTTCTGACAAATACAAGTAATGATAAATAAAAACCAATATTTTACTTAAATTTTAATATTATTGAATCTATCACTACATAAATTTAATTAGAAACTAGATCATCTAAATTAAGATTTCATCCTGATATAATTACAGTTCTAAGTGATTTTAGTGATGTAGAATTAAAATCTAATCAAATTAAAAATATGGCTGAAGATAGAATATAAGAACTTAAACAAAATGCTTAAGTAGCCTTAGCAAATTAAGTAATTATAGAAAAGAATAGATGGGTCAATATAAAAATGGATCAATTCTATTTTGAACTTCCATTAAATAATTCATAAGAATCTTGGCTGTTTTGTCCAGGATTTGTTAATATCAATAGTAGTATTATTAATTCTTAAGAATAATATCAAATCAAACTTTCAAATATAGGTTTGAAACATTAATCTCAAAATTAATATAGTGTAATTGATAATTTTACTATTGATCTTGAAGTTATTTTACCTAATTAAAAAAATTAAAATCTATCTGTTAATGTAAATATATAAGATATTATTACTAATATGAATCCAATAATATATCAAAAACTAACTAAAATTGGAGATTGCTTTACTCCTACTGTTAGTGTTGAAGAATATAAAAGATAACATAAATCAGATGAAATTGAAAAAAATAAATTAATTGAAAATGCTATTAAAATAGCTCCACTTTATATTAAAGGAGGTTAATTGAATTAATGGGTTAAATATACTTGTGTAATAAGTGGATCTTCTTTATATTTCTATTCTACTCCTAAATCATAATAACCTACCTTTATTAAATATATTAAAAATTCTAATATTATAGAACAAGGAATAGATGAATTCAAAATGAATGTACTCACTATATAAAATGAAAATAATTCATTTGAAATTGGTATTTAGAATCAAAATCAAATCTAAGATTGGATACAAAAGATCTAATCACTTAAAGATGTTGAAAAAGAATTACTAAAATAATTAGAAGATAATTAAGAAAAATAAAAAGTAGAACCTATTGAATTTGAAAAAATCATTAATTTCAAAATTTCTGTAGTCTAAATCAATTTACAAGATTCTAATTCTAAATAATTTTTAGTAATGAAAACTAATGATTTATCACTTAAAATGAAAATGCATTCAGAATTCTTACATGCTTAACTTACTCTATCAGGATTATAATTATAAGATAATTTAAGATAATATTGTGATGAACAACTATCAAATTTAATTATTTCACAAAAAGAAAATGGAGAACTAATAGAAATAGATTTTCATTAAACTAATAGAAATTCTAAAAAATTTATAGATACAGATTAGGAAATATAATTAAAATTTGGAAAATTACATATTAATTTTAAAAGTGAAACATTTGCTTATCTTTTATAATTCATTAATAGCAATAATAATAATAATGATATCCCTTAAGAGAAACCTTAAGATTAAGTTGAAAAAGAATTTTTAGAAGCAGAGAAATAATTTTTATTATTAAAATTGAATGTGTAAATCACATAAATTAGTTTATCTATTATACATGAAATAACTAAATTACCTTTTGTAGACATTCAATTTTAAAACTCTACAATAGAATTGTTGAAATATTAAGATGAATTACAAATGCAACTTAATTTAGGTAATTTATAAATCAATGATTTAACTAATCATCCTTATACATTAACATCAGAAGAAGATTATAAATTAATTAAATCTAATTAAATTGTAGGAATCAAGTAAATGGGAGAATCTTTACTTTTTGTAAAAATTATTCTAATCGAACCATTATCCAAAAAAGCAAAATTAAATAGAGATATCATTAATATAGATGCAAAAATAAGTTAAATAGTGGCAGATTATTAATAATAACCTATTTTAAGAATCATAGATTATTTATAAAATTTATAGGATCCCTTCACTAATCCTAATTCATTTAAAGTTTAGGGTTATTCTATTGATAATGATGTAAAAGAAATAATTCAACCAAGTAGAATAATTGTAGAACCTTCAAATGAGGAATCACTAAAATTAATATCCGATCCTCCTAGAATGAAATTAAGAGTTTAGATTGATAATCCTTAAATCATAATAAGAAATAAATTTTCAAACGAATTTATGATTATCAATTTAGGTTAAATAAGTGTTGCTAATTAAAAAGAATAAATCAATTAATTTTATAAAGAAATTTATACTATTTAAATCACATAACTAAATATAATTGGGGAATGTGATAATAAATAGGCTGTGATTGCAAGTGATTTTAATTTACTTTTAACTGTCACTCTCCCTGATCTAGTATAATATTATAAACTATTAAATAATAAAGTTGATGAAACTATTTACATTAATTGTGAAATGAGTTAATTCATATTAAATATTGATAGAAATACAATGAAATTAATTAATAGGTTAGTAGCTTATAATTTTACTCTTAATGATTCATTTAATGAATATGTATTACTTAATGCTGAAAAATCAAATTAAATTAATTAAGAATAGTAAAAAATAATATTAAAGTAAGATGTCTAAAAGAAGATTAAAAATTAAGATTACTTTTTGAAATTTAAATTAAAAATTATTAATATTTCAATATTTTTATGTTTAGATCGACCTTTAATAAGATTATCAATTGTTGATAGTAATATAGAATTCAATTTAAAGAGAGATGATAAAAAGGAATTACTTATTTAAATATCATCTTTTAATTCATGTGTATATGAATAAGTTAATGGATATTTTGTTAGTAAACCTTTAATAGGAATATAAGAAGAGAAATAATATGATAAATTAAATGATTTATCATAACTTGTAACAAATGCTTCAAATTCAAATATGGAATCAGGCAAGATTGAAATGTTCATCAATCCAACTTAAAATAAAACTCATAATAAATTGTATTTAACATTTGAATCTTTTTTACTAACAATATAAACTAAGATAATACTGTAGACAATGACAATATTTGAAAGTGAATAATTAATTCCATATGTAAATGAATAATTAAAAGAGTATTAATTAAAATATGATTAATATTTAAAAAGTCAATAAAAAGAAGAAGAAGTTTAACCAACTGATTCTCAAATATTTATTACCTTAGGTGATGTAATTATAGCAATACCATCAAATAATGATTCAATTTTGACATTTACTGGAAAATTCAATATCATTTTAAATACTTATGATACTATGAATGCAGATGAATTACTTAGCATAATAAAAGAAAAAGGATTGAATGAATATGATTTAATTGGAATGAATTTTAAAATTAAATCAACTGTATCAATTGAATAAGTTTAAGCATATGTAGCTTCAAAATAATTATTGTATAGCAAATAATTCAATCAATTGGATAATAAGAGATAAATTATTTGGCCATTCACTATGTTATTAAATCAGAATTAATAATTAGTTCTATCAGAAAATTTGGATTCTTTAATTGAAAAATAAACCATTGGATTATCATTAAGTAAATTCCAATTCAGAATTGCATTTACTGATGTGTTATTTATTCAAAATTAAATTAATAAATAATTGTAAATAATTAATGAATTAACAAATAATGATATTAAATAATAATAGAAGGAAGTAAAAAATTAACAATAATAAAATAATTTATAAAATATTGAATTAGTAATTGATGGAATAGATATAATGATTTTAAATGATATAGAAAATTATTATTAATACATATTAAACTTTAAATTATTTTAAACTGAAACTAGATTAGAATAAACAGCAAGAAATTTAAAATTTTTATTAAATTTACCAATTTCATTATAATATTTTAATTCAAACATAGGTTTTTGGGAGCCAATTATTGAAAAATGTGATATATCAATAGTATATTTAAAAGATTTAACAGGATTTGATTTAGTTGGTGAAAATCAATTAGATGTTCAAATAAAAGAAGGAGTAAATATAAATGTATCAACATAAATGATAGAAACAGTGTATTCTGCTGTAAGTATTTTAACTTAAAAACTTTAAGCTAAAAATTAAACTCAAGTTAGAAGTTAAAATAATTCTTATGCAAAATATGCAATTTATAATCAATTAGGATCTGATGTATTATGTGAAACATAAGACAATACTATTATTATAGCTTAACAAAATGAATATAAAGATTTTGATGTTAAGAATTAAAAGTCTAATAATTCAGTTTCTTTATAAATTTAAGGTGATAAAAATCCATTTGAAATAAAGAATTGGAATATTGACAAATTATAATAAAAAGTCAAAAAAATAGGAGATAATAGTCCTGTACTTATTAAAAACTTTGTAGATCATTTAAAAAACTAAAGAGTCATATATTTAAGTTCTGAATTTATCTTTGAAAATCATACTTAAACTCATTTGGAATTAGTTTTCAAAGATTCAAAAGGAAATCTTATAATATAAAAATTATAATCATTTATTTAGAATTAAAATGTAAAATAAGTAACATGTTAACTTAATTAATTTGTACTTCCTTAATATTTATTGTCAAGTGATTTTTATATAAGAAAAGTTAATAATAATTAAGAAAAATGTTAAGCTTACAATGTTAAATATCTTAAAAAATGTTTTGAAAATAAGGAAAGTTTAAAATTATGGTTAAGTGAGAATTTCATAATAACTTTAAATGTGTTTAAGGATCCAGGATATTATGGTAGATATATAATATATATTTAACCAAATTTCAGATTGTAAAATTTATTGCCATTTCCTGTGACAATAAATACATTGTATGAAAACAAATAGGGAGAAGTAATAAAATTACAACCACTTTAATATTTAGATGAACATTAATTAAAAAATTTAAAAGAAAATCATTGTATCTAGATTGGAATTGATTCATATAAAATTTCTCCTATTATTCCACTATTGAACAATAGAAATTTTAAATCATAATAAAATGTTATAAATTTAGTTGGCGAAGAATGGCAAGGAAGCAAAGGAGGTAAAAGTGAAATAGTACTTGAATATAATTATTAGTTATTCAGCTAAACTGGATTATGTAGTGCAGTATTATTTGCTTAAGAATATATTAAGAATGAAACACAATATGAGTTTGTTGTATTTTAAGGTAAGAATGAATAATATACATCTATTGGTGGATAAAGATAAGGATCAAAATTAAGGCCATTGATATTGAATAATACACATTAATAAAATGAATTGATGTTTTCAGGTAGAGATACTCCATAATTGTTATCTTTAACACCGGCTTAAATTAATTCTATTGGTACAACAACGAGTGATATTAGATTAAAGAGATAAGAAATATTTTATATTGCACCATTAGCAGTTATATCTGAAATCAAATTAATTTAATCAACTTGCTAAAAAGTTGTGACCATTAGAAATAGGATCATTTTAGTCAATAATTCAGAGCATTCCATATGTATTAAACAATTTAAGGTTTTTGAAATTAAACCAAATGAAAGAGTGCCTTTTGAAATTTGTTTCTCTGATAAAATACCTTAATCTGCTGATGGTATTTATTAATTTTAGTTTACTTTTGTGGAAGACTATAATTGGAATTGGAGTGGTATGATTGAGTGCAATTAAACAGGTGTGTTTTATTTGTAATTAAGAAGTCTTAAGTTTCAAGAAATAAGAAAATTTGCACAAATTGATATAAATGAAAGTAACGGAGTATTATTTGTTGAAATAAGTGAAACTAAGCATGATTAAACACCCTATAGAATTACCAATCAAAGCAAGATGATATAAGTAACTATCTTAAATCTGCCAGTCTGTTTAGATTATAATTAAGATTGTTATTTTGCTTGGGATGAACCAATTAAATAAAATGAAGTTCATCTTGTAATATGTCCTAAAGTAAGTTAATACGAAATTGTTGAATATTAATTTAGAATAGATAAAATTACAGAAGCAAAGTTTTTTGTAATTAGATCTCAAATAGCAAATGATTGTGGGAAAATAATAATTAAATTGAAGACTGAAATGAATGGTTACACTAGACATGCTTAATTTTTGGATTCAAATGAAGAAGAATTAAAAAGATATAAAGAAAATTCAGGTAGAATATTAAAAGAGGAATAATATTTAAAATTTGATATTATGATTAGTTAAATAAATTTAAATTTAATTGACAATCATTTACCATACCCTTTAGAAATAATAAGTATTGTATTGCATCAATCAGAAGCCATTTTATTAATAAATAAACAAAATAAAGCAGTTTTTCAATTTAAATTATCAGGATTGTAAATAGATAATACTTCTTAATTATATCCTCTATTTCCTGTATTATTAACATTATTACCAAATGGTAAAGTGAAATAATAATTTCCAATTTTGAATGTTTTGGTTTAGATGAATTTATAAGCTAAAAAATTGTAATTGATTGATAAATTTTCTTTGGAGACTAATCGTTTGGCAATAAAAATAAATGATAGAATTTTAAAGACAATATTGAATACAATAAATAGAATAACATAGATGATTGAAAGTTAGTAATAAAAATTATAATAGAAATTTGATTGGAAGAAATGTGCATTACCTGATAGATTGATTCCAACATATTTTGGATCAATAACATTATATCCAATAATAATATAAGTAACAGTAGAATGGGGTAGAAAAGATAAAGAATAAGATGCAGATAATCCTATGTTTACATCTTTATTATCTGGAGTAGGTTTTTAATTAGTATCAGTAGATGAGGCTGAAATAGTATTGAAAGGTATTTAGATGGATGATGTATTTGATAGTATAAATGGTTTAAGTAAAAAATTAACTTAAAGATATTTACCAGATATATATAAATAATTACCTGCAATATTAGGTAGTTTAGCTGTAATAGGTAATCCAACAAAATTATTAAAAAACTTTGTATCAGGAATGTAAGATTTGATAGAAAGACCAATAGAAGGATTTACAAAAGGACCATTAGAAGGTGGAATGGGTGTTTTAACTGGAGCAACATCATTAGTAAGTCATACAGTTTCTGGAGTATTTAATAGTGTTAAAAATGTTGTTGGAACTATTTCAAGTGGTTTATCTAAAGTAACGATGGATGATAATTATTAATAATAAAGATAAATTTAGAATTAATAATAAGCTAGAAATGTAACATCAGGTATATAAGAAGGATCTATGTCTTTGGTTAAAGGAGTAACTGGGGGTATAACTGGATTCTTTAGTAAACCTATTTAAGGTGCTTAATAATAAGGAGCTTCTGGATTATTGAAAGGTTTATGGCAAGGTACTTCTGGTTTAATTATTAAACCTGTTGCAGGTGTATTAGATGTTATTTCTAAAACATCTGAAGGAGTTAAAAATTAATTATCGTCTGATGAATAACCTAATAATTAAAGAATTAGATATTTAAGGCCATTTTATGAAAGTGATGGATATTATAAAGAATATAATTGGGTTGAAGCCGAATGTTATGAAGTTATTAAAGGAATTAAAAAAGGAAAATATGAAAATCATAGATTACTTAGAGTTGCCACTATTGAAAGAGATAAAAAAAGCTTTGGACTTATTTTAACTGATACTAGTCTTATTCTTTTTGATTTAGATCAACATCTAAAACTTTGGTCCATTTTATATGATGATATTGAAAATATTAGTTTTAGTGGAAATGTTATATAAATCAAAAACAAGAAATCTAAAAGAGCTTTCTAAGTAATTCTCACATTTATTATTTTTTTAGGGTAAATCTATTACATAATTGACAATGTCTTCATCATAATAAAGTCTATAAATCACAGAAGAAATTAAATTCATGAAACAATAACTGTGACAAATATATATATTTTAATAATCAAATTTAAGAATATAATTAGATTATCTTAGTACCTGTCAATGCTAAAGTTATCACTTAAAATAAAGATACCTATATAAGAATATATATATTACTTTGTAAACAATATACAATATTCCTAATGGATATATTTGATGATTGTAATCAAAATATTTATCAACTATCCATTATCTAGCTATTTTCTTATCTCCTATATTTAAACTATGTTCATTTATTGATAATTCTATCATTGAAGAAGAATTCATCATTGGATCAATCTTAATTATTTTAAGTATATTTACTTATTCTAATATAAATATATTTTATTCTTCTGATTATATCTTTAAAGATCTATTTGATTGTATCTAATCTGATATTAGATTGCTTTCACTTTCTAAAACCTAAATTAAAATTTATTAAAATTAAATTAAATTTCTCACATTTACATTATCCTAAATATAAGATTTAACTTATTCAAACAACTTTTATATTTCTAAATTGCATTCTGATTTTAATTTTTATACTTCTTTTTTTTAAATTGTTTATGCAACTAAATTATCAATCAAAACTTCAATTTAATCAATTTCATAATAAGTTTATGTGCTATTGCAAACAAATATATTTTCATATTTACTCTAATCTCTTTTCTATTGAATTTCAAGTTCAGTCTATAATTTCTTATAAAGAGCTTCTTCAATTCCAATAAATTATTTAAGTTATTAATTTTTACTATGTGTTAAAGCATATTATATTTCCAATCTATCCTTCTCTATATTTTCTTCTTATATTTCTTTTTTAATCTAAACAATCATATTTTATTTTTCTCCTTTTTCTAATTCTAAACTCTCTAATTCCTCTTAAATCAATTACATATTCTCTTATTTAACTTCCTTTTCATATTCTAAATTTTCTACTAACTCTGTTAATTATCTTCCTTCTCTACTATAAATAGCCATTCTATTTCTTAATTATAATAATTTTTCATCCATTTCAGCTAAGTTCCTAAATAAAACTTAAACATAATCTTTTTTTTCTTTAATTCTATTTCTAGATATAATCTCTTATTCATTTAACTCTTAATTATCCAATTCTAATTAATACATCTTTTATAAAATGTTAACCTTATCATTTTCTAAATCAGATTATTTTTAAAATAATGTTTCCAATTCCTTTTCTATTTTTTCTACACATTATCTCCTTTAATCTAATTCTACAGCTAATTTATGTTCTTTTTCTGCCCATTCTTATAATTTAACTGCTAATTCATGATGTCTTTCAGCTGTTCTCTTTAATTTCTATTATAGATCATCCAACATTTCACTTTCTTTAGTAAATTTATCTTACAATTCTAATAATAATGGATCATCATCAAAATAAAAACTAGGTTATAAAGTTACTCTTGATTGTTGCATAGATAATTATTATAATTATTATTCTAATATATCTAATTTCTTATCTTTTTCTTTAATCGTAGATTATAATTCTTCTAATTATGTTTTAGTTCCTTCAATCTATTATATAGTTTAAAATATAGGTTAACTTTATGATTAAACCAATTTTTATAAATCATCTTTTAAATTTAGATTTCTAGAATTTAATGAACTTATTTATTATGATAATAAATCTTCATATACTTCTACTTCATTTGATTCAGCTATTGTTGATTTCTATTATTTCTTTTTATTTAATTATTTCTTTACTTCTACTACTTATAAATTTGTTAATTCTAAATCCTTTTTCAAACTTTCTTTCTTTTCTTAATATTATTTTAATTCTTTTTCTTTTAATTAGATTACAGCTTCTAACATTTTTGTATCATCATCTAATTTTCTAAATTAATCATTTAATTAATCTAAATCTTTTAATTTCTATTTTATTTAATAATTCATTTCTTCTTCTTTTACTTTTGTATGATATATTTCTTCATTAATTTCAGTTAATTAATCTTATTCTTTCTTAATTTCTCCTGATAATTTAGATCTTTATTTCTCAAATTCTTAGATTTATTCTTATTTTAATCTTATTTCTGTTAAAATTTCCGAATATTATTATTTATATTAGATTAATTCTTCTTTTTACTAATTAAAATGTTTTAATTCTTCATTCTTATTTTTAAGCATCTCTTCTAAACTACTTAAATCCATTTCTGCTTTTGCTAAATCATCTTCTAATTTACTCCTTAATTCTGATCTTGTTTAAAATTCTCTTTCAAATTTACTTAATTTATCATCCTATTCAGATATTCTCTTTTTAATTTCTTCTTCTTCCCTCTAATAAAATTTTAATTCATCTTCCAACTAATTAAATTTCTATTTTTATTCATTAATCTTTTATTCTTTCTAATATAATAACCCTTAATACTATTATACTTATTCTTCCTTTTCAAACATCTCTTTCATTAATCTTTCCATATCTTTATCTAATTTTGCTACTTAATCTAATTAATGTAAATGTTTCATCTATTAATCTGTCAACTTATTTAAATTATTCTTTTACTCTTCAATCTCCTATCTTATTCTCTTTATCTATTCTTCTCTCTATTCTTTTTCTTTATTCTATCTCTCTAATATTTAAATTTAACTTTGAATTGCCTACTTATTACGATCCAACTCCTACTATATACGATCAGCCTTATCTTATATTGCATTTTTCAATGTATTTTCTTATTTTATACTATCTTCCAATTTAGCTCTTAAACTCTATAAATCAATTAATTATTTCTCTTGATTTTCTGTATACAATTTTAGGTAATTCACTTCTTACATAACCTGATTCTTTTAATCTTAAACCTTTTATTATTACTTCTACAGTTCAGATAAATCTTCTACATTCTAATCGTATTGTTATCTTGATGATAAATACAATCTTTATATCTCTTCCTTCTAAGGTTAAATCAATAAAACCTACTCCTTCTATATTTATAATTCCTCAATTAACTATTCTAGTAATTACTTCTCCTCTGAAATCTAATGAGTAATATCTTCAATCTTTTTATTAATATTTGCACTATCTAAATTCATTTCTGTATATATCTTTATCTCCTATTCAATCAAAGCATTCTTTTATTTATATTAATTCTATTATTCTATCAACTATTGTTCCAATATCTTTGCTTATTCTATATCATCTTTTAATAACATTATATTTTGATCTAATTATGAACTCTCAATACTCAAAGCCGATATTTATTATTCTTTTGTTTATTTTACTTACTTTGCTGATTCAGCTCCTTAAAATAATCGAGCCAACTCTTGCTCTAACCTCTTTTCTTATGCTAACAAATCATTTACTTATTATTCAAGTAATCCTACCTTCTCTCCTAATGGCATCTATTCTCTTAATATATAATCTCTTTTCTATTTCTATTTTCTAGTCAAAACTGATAATTAATAATTCTCCTTCTCTATACGCTATAATTCATCCTATTTCTCCTTAACCACTATTTATAAATCTAAAATCAATAATTCTAAATTTTTTATTTGCTCTTTCACCTTTTTTTATCCTTATTAAAGCTCATTTAATCTTTTCGATTGCTCCATATTCTAATTCAACCAATTTGGAACATTTTATTAAGATTTGCTGGCATCTTCAATTAAATTAATTTGTTAGTTCTATAATTCATTTACCAATGATTCAATATCTTTATTTTCTGATTTAATTTTTTCTACTTATTCTTGTTTAAGCTATTGCTCACTCTGTAAATCCTATAATACATCTGTTGATGATTAAATAAATAATTTCAATTATTCTATTTAGGATTACTTTTCTTTCTTTTATTTCAATAACAATTCTAGTTCTATATCATCTTAGGTTAATTATCTTACAGACTCTGTTATCTAAGCTATTTGAATTGTCAATTCTGATAGATTTGAATTATGATCTTGTATGATATCTTGATCCTCATGGAAAACTTATAAAGGTTAAGGCATAGATCTTTAATGTTATGATAATCGTTATTCTAATTCATAATATTATTGTTGTTTTTATATTAATCTTGATTCCATTTACTAGATCTTTTCATCTAATTCTAAATTCTACTTTACCATTTCATCAGATTTAATTTATCTTTGTTGAATTTCTTCTTACATCATATCTTAGATAATTTTTTAAATTTCTTCTTATCTATTCTTTTTTTCTTATAATTTGAACTCTAATTCATGAATAACATCTTCCAAAGCTAAATTTTATTTAACTAAATTATCAGCCTATTCCTATAAAACATTAATTTATCTATTTATTACTGATACATCCTAAGTAGCTAATATTTATTAATTAAAATGACTTCTTTTTAAATCACTTAATTATTATTTCAATTATTCAATAATCTTATCTTTTTCTTATAATTAATATTTCTAACATTCTATTTTACTCTTTAATTATTCTAAACTACTATTGAATCCAGCTAAAATTTACTATTATTAAACAAATTGAATATCCTAATCTTAATCATATGAATTAATTCCACTATCTCTTATAACGCTTTCTCTATCTTTATAAAATGAATTATTATTTTAATTAGATTCAATTTCAAAATTCTTTGATGTATTCAAATATTCTAATTCTTTTAATTTAGAATCTTTTTCTACTAATCTTAATTCTAATGAATGAATCAATTCATCCATAGCTAAGTTCTTTTTAACTAATTCATCAGCTTTTTCACATTAATCCTCATTTGTCTTCATTAATGCTTAATATCTTAATTCAACATCTCTTTATTATAATTCTTATTCCTTATCATACAGTTATTTTTATAACCTCGATATTTCTTCATATAATAAAACAATATTCATATTCTTTTCATGTAATTATTCTTGCATTTCCATCAATTCTGAACTTTAAACAAAAGATTTTCTTTTCGGTTTTTGATCCTCATTTACTATAGATTCTAATTAATCTCTTCTTTTTTTTTTATAAGTTAATTATTTTTTTAAATCTTGTATTCTATTTTCCATATCTTAATTTTATTCACTCAATTCTTTAAGATAAGTATGCTATGATGTATTCATAATTTCATCTTTTTATTAAATTTCGAATTTCAAAAATTCTATTTATGATTCCTTTTATTTTATCAATTCTTGCAATTAATCAATCTAAAATTAATAATCTTAAGGAATTGATTCTGTTTATGGACCAAATATATTGATTGTTGGTATATCTTGAATATAAGATGTTACTGTTGGTTAAATTGTAATTTATTTCAATTAAACACCTTATAATTATTATTCAACTGAAACTTTAACTTCTATTTCTTCTTATAATTAATTTTATAAATTATAGACTTCCTACTTCTCCTTTTATAATTTCTCTCTTAATTCACAAATTTCAATTTATTTTTATTTTAATTACTATTCAATAATCTCACATTCATGTTATTCAACCTCTAATTGACTTATCAATTCTTTCTTTGGAGACATATTTGAAGGTTTTAGAGATGTAGATGAATTTTAATCATTTTCAAATAAATCCTTTTAACTTAATTATTCTAAAATCTAATTTTATGCTTTCTATTTCTCTAATAATTTTATCTATAATTCATTCATTAAATCATCAACTGCTTAATTCTATTTTACCAAATCATCTATAGCAATTAATTTATCAGTCTCACCTTTTAAAGGTGATCCAATCCCTAATATAATATTTTAGGATTTTAAATATTCTAATTAACTTTTTGTTTTAGCTAATTAATCTTCTAATTCTACTTTTTCTGCTTATTTTTTTTCAAAATCATCATTCAAACTTTAAGTCTCTTATTATAACTTTTTTAATTAATGTCTCACATCCTAATTATATGCTTTTTCAACTATCAATTATTCATTCAATACAGACATTTATGATTTTAATTATTTTAAGATTTTTTCATCATCTTCATAAGAATCCATTATTTATTCTAACTCTTACTTTTATTGTTTTTTATCATAAAGCTTCTTTTCTAATTCAATTAGAATATCATCAATCTCCTCATGTTACTTTATAATTTCATCAACTTATGATGTATTTGCTTTATATGATCTTCTTTAATTATCTGAACCCTACTTTAATTATTCTAATTATTGCTCCTTTTATGACAATTATTATTTTAACTTCTCAAATTCTTCTTAAATCTATAATCCTAATGTATTAAGTTAATTAGGAAATGCTAATAATTGATCAATTGCATTATCAAATATTGGTTAATTCAATATATCCTTTTGATTCATTCTATTTTTCAAAGTCTTTATTTCATCTGCTTAATCCGTAATTATTTTCTCCTATCTTTAAATATGCTAATCAAGATCTAAACTTTTATCATTTCAATACCTTAAATCTAAGTATTCACTACTTTTAGAAGTGAAGATGTAATTTACGACATTTTCCAAATTATTAAATATTTATATTAAAATAATTTTTAATTTTATATATTTCATAATTATCCTATTTAATTCTTATTTTATCTCAAATACCATTTTATTGAAAAAAAAACTAAAAGCCATTTCTATTCCTAAATAAATAATCATTTCCCTACTAATAAAATCTATGAAAATTAATAAATAATTCTCTTACATATAAATTAGGTGCTCTATTAAATAACAATAATCAATTTCTATAGCTTATTTGAGTTATCATACTTATTTAAAATAAATCATGAATATATTTATCCAAAAATGAAAATATAATTTTATGTTTTTTACAGTTTAAATAATATTATTAATATATAGATCTTGATTGCTTTTTGCTCTTACGTTTTAGCTTTAATATGCTCAATAAATAGATGCAAAGTTATTCAAAATTAATATAAAAATTTAAATAACTAAGGATATTGAGGCTTTCAAATTATTTATGTTTATAGTCTATTTTAAACTGTTTATGATTATTTCAATTACAGTTGTAAGAGTAAGATTTTGTTTTCATTTAAATGTGAGATAAAAATTAATTTACAAATTATCTAGTTGAAATTTTTAATTTTAGAATAAAACTCATACTTTTTAATTCGTATTTTGAACAAAAAAATGATAAATTTATGATCCATTAAAATAAAGAAATTAGTTATACCTGTCGAATAATATGATTAAAATTGTTGGGAGTTATAGAAATATTACAGTTAAATAATTTTTCCAACTTTGAATTTTTAAGTAAAAGATTTCATCAATTTATCAAATTTTATGATTAAAAATTTTTAAATTATTATCAATAACTGCGCCTATTAAATTGAAATCGTGATCTCCTAGTAATCCCTAAATATAAAAACAACTGAATCATTCTCTATATATATTAAGAATATTGGGATCGTAAATAAATAAAATTTATTTCAACATTTTGAAAATATAAAAATTTTTGAATCTTAGGAATTTAATGATTTTAATTCAATATGATTGGATTGTTTTAAGTATGTAAATATTAGTGCATTTAATTTAATTTTATAGATATGAATTTTATTTGCTTTAATAGATTCAACATAGACTTCTTTTGGTTATAAAGTGAAAGATTTATATAAATAAAGTATTTATCAAAATAGTCTTTTTTAGTAAAAATGTTTTTCATTAAAATATAAACACAAATGCAGATATAAATATTAATTATCATTTATTATTAAAACACACTAAATTCTTTTTTTTTGAAGTGTTTGAAGAAAATGATATTTAATATAAAATAAATTGAATGATTTATAGTGATAAACTTTTAATCTTAATCACCTGTTTTCATTATAAATTAAAGATTTTTTGT